AGCAAGTTTCAGATTCAATAGCCTTTTCTATTTGCACACTGCCTGCTTCCTTGCATGGTTGCCGGTTCCACGGGGAGGGTAGTATACATCTTAGGGGGAGGTGTCGGGGATTCTGGGAAATAAATCTTTGTAATCCCACAGTAGCAAAACAATAAAACAATAACCAATACACAACTGAGTATATTTTTTGAATACCCAAACGGTTTGAATACCCAACTAGGTTCGAACACGTCCCCCTTGCAATCCCAACCTAGTTCGCAAAAGGTCACAGGACCAGGGCATGACCCATTTAGTGACCGTGGTGCTTATGGCCTTTTCCTGTGATTTCACCCCTGCTCTCTGAAAACCCGGAGAGGTATGTCATCTCTCCCTCCATTTCCGGCAGCTTCGCCAAAAGAGGACGAAAGGGACTAGAAGTCAGTGACAGGGTTGCAGTTCGAAATGGACTAGGACAGGTTGCACTGGGTTGCTTCAGAGCTGGAAAGGCTTTCATCTCACTAGCTGAGCCTTGCATCACATCACTTGCTGAGCATCGTTCATGTCAACCATGTTCGTTGTGATGTGCTGCCACATTCATTCTCCCCGAGTTTCCCTTGAAAGATGTGTGTGACGATATTGTGAGTATAATATTAACCCAATTTCCTCCCCTGTTGGATTTCGAGTAGGGAAACCATGTCCTCCGTCCTCAGCTTTTGCAGGTTCTCCACAGACCTTCCCGGTTTCGATCCTCCCCTCAGCCGCGACCTTCCCGGACGCCCCGGTCGCCCCACCTGTTCTTCGACCCGGACGGCTGACGGCGAAGCCTCGGTAGTCGGTGGCGTGCTGCGACTCGCCTCGCCTCTCTTGGAGACGACAGGAGGATGTTGACAGTGACAATTCCGATGTGCTTAGTAAGGAATGAGGGTGGCTGGATCCTATATTATCTATATAGTGAGGGGTCATTCTCTCATTCCCTACTCGATACATCTTGGTGACTCAGTGTTCACCCTCTCTTGGAGACGACAGGAGACGATGGTGATCGAACAGTCCACTGGCTGTCGGGGTGCCATCGTGCCATCGAAGCTCTGAAAACGCCTGTTTCTAGCAACTAGACCGAAATTTTGAGCACCAAAATGATCTCGAGTCTCCATGGCTGTAGGTATTTTTGACCTGCTCAAAGGTGTGTTGTGTTGCGTCAAAGGTGTGTAAGGCTACTTATTAAGCAGATTGATTGAAGGTGAAGGCTGGCGTGGTTGGCCAACACCAAAACAACGAAAATGCGGTACTCTCTACGTTTTAAACGTTTCGGAAAGTTCGCCTTAAAAAGTTTGATGGACTTGGCTCTTTTTCATGGAAGCTTCATCTTCAAATGCCCATCCTTGCCATCAAGAGTCCAAAGAGTCCTGCAGCCCATCACTTACAAAAGTGGACGACATGCTCTTTGACAAATTTAAGCCTCGTTCAGAACATGCTCGTCCTCTGATCCAATATTCTACAAAGCCCGCACTGAATGGATTGGAACAATTTTTCGATGCACATCTGAGTCTGTAAGTCTCGGCCTTAACAAGAACACCGGAATGGCAAGTAAGGGCCTCAATCTCGTTTTTGGCCACTAATGACTAATGAGGCGACAAAGAAAGACCCTGGAACAAACCACTACCACTACCATAGTGCGACTGCTAATCAGCCCAGACTTCTTCGTAACCGTCTGTCAATTCAAATGCCCCTTCTGACTATGTGAGAATTCGGTCCAGATTGGAGACAACATGAGACAACTACTGAACACAAAAGTGCGCCCCATTGCGCCCCTGTTTATCCAAAGCGACCTTTTCATCCCCGGGTAGGTCACGGTCACTTAGACCTACTCTTAGACCTGTTTTTGGATCACTTAGGGTCACATACTGACAAAAATGGTCATGACATACTGTACCCATACACTCCATGTATGGAATATATGCCTACATTGACCCCCCAAACCACCCCAATGTAGGCATATATGGCATACATGGAGCGTCTGGGGTATATATTATGAACATCCAGTGGATCCATCACGATCCATCGAGCATCTTGCCGGTCAACCGGGTTTGACCAGGTCCCCCGGCCACCTGGCCCTGCCTCGGAGGTCCGGTGCGAACATCTCCCAAAAGCCCCGATGAAAGCAAATGAACACACCGTGAAATCACTTGGCATCTTAGACTTGCTTGATTTCTTGGGGCTGTACCCAAAACCGAACATCGCACACATGAACAAACATCAATGAGGACCTGTGGATCTCATGGCCAAGTTTCGAACCCCTGCTTTGGGGTGCTGGAGCTTTGAACCACACCTCCCGGGTCTGAATGGGACATGTATATCCCAAACACTCCATGTATGCCATATATGCATACATTGACCCCAAATAATATAAATAATCCCAAATATGCCTACATTGACCCCAAAACCACCCCAACTGATCGGCATATATGGCAGTCCTATGGAGTGTTGATACCCTCTCACCTTCCGTGCTCCCGGTCCGTCGCTCGGAAAGTGAGCAACAGCACTAGGTGCTGGGAGATGTCTGAAGTCACAAGGGACTCCCCAAAACCGCGTTGTGACAAGGGACTTGCATGGGGTCCAGGTAAGGTGGTCAAAATGTTCTTGAAGGATGGCAGAACTGGAGCTACTGCCCATCTTCCAAGATGTTCCTGGACGGTATGTCGGAGCCATATCAACAACCCAATCTGTGAATACTTTGTTGCTGAAATGAGTCCCCCGCAGCACCATGGCAGCAACACCAAACTGGACCGATGAACACTTCACCAAAGCAACCACAAATGAGAATCAAAAACGTCAGAAACGAGCATGAGTCACCTTCTTGGCAGCGTTTGATTTGGGAACACTCGTTCGTCCTGCCGGCCATGCCGGCAAACACAAAGGGACTCTGAAGTTCTTTAAATTGTCTCATTGCGCCGGTTCTGGAAAATCGTTCATCAAAATCATTCATAATTCATTTCGAGTTGCCGAGAGCCGTGCTTGTGACATGTCATAGTGGTCCCACCAAAACATACATTTCCCCACACAGTCTGCCAGGGAGACCGACCAAAGAAAGGGTTCTGAACTGCTCGGATCCGTTTTAAAACACCCAAAAGGTTAGGGGAAAGAAGGGCAGGACAGGAAAACGCCTCGTGATGTTCGTCCGCACCCAAGAAGGGAAGCCACGGTGGTTTCCATCACCAGAAACAAAACTAGGGGCTGCAAATCACTTGGTCAACCACGCTGCGGTGGATGCCAGGACCATCCTGTCGGGGTGTCCAAGGGACTGCACCACTGAGGGATCTCCAAACAGGGCACGCCTTTTTCATGGTCCAGGTATGTATGTATCTTCATCTTGAGGTGTTGATCCTCAAAGAATCCATGCTGAAGGAGCGAACGAGCTTGTGTCGCGGCATGGAGCCAAACATCCTCGCGACGACCGATGGCGCAGGTCGCACCGATACCGTCGCGCTGGCGAGGCTTCGGACAGTTGATCCCGCAGCTGCCGGTTCTCTGCCCTGGCAGCGGCGGGAGAACCGGCGAGCGCTTGAACCGACCGGGGCACAGGCAAGGACGGTTGGACTGGAAAATTCCAGGAGCCACATGGAGTGGGGTGGTTTGGTTCGTCCCATCCCCTTGTCCTCCAAGTTCGGCACCCCGTTGTGACTCCTGGTTACTGGTGAATTCTTGATTTGAAGAGGTCCAGTGGACCAGCTCTTGGCTGCAAGAGCAGTCCAGCATTGTTTGGATTGGGCCCCGCATGTTTGGGCCTCCAAGAGGGAGAAGAATGGATCCAAGATGATCCAAGAGAATTTGACTTGAGATGGCAAGCGTCTCCACAAGAAAGACAGCCGTGCTTCAGCTGCCAATTCAGCATTTCGAGACACACAGACCTCTGTATAGCTGAAGAAGTGAGTCCATCATGGTCAATTCCTGGCGGCAACCTGAGGAGTGCAATAAGGTTCCTTTGGCTTATTGGCCTCCAAAGGCACTCTCCTCCTTTGGACTAACCGACCGATCGACCTCGTCCAGCCGATCGGACGGCGACGGCCCGGACGGGCCTCGTGGATCCACGAATGAGACCCAATGGAGAGGCGAGTGTTAGGGAATGAGGGGAATGAATTCACCACCCCCTGTCGAAAAAAAGAACTCAGGATCCAGCCACCTTCATTCCCTTATGATTCTGGGGCCGCACCAGGATGTAACATGATGTAACCTGTTTGAGAACACCAGGTTCCGGCGCTGGGAGGACCGAAGAAGGCGTGTGTGGGAGGGCCTTAAGGCGTCATTCTCCTTTTGAGCCTCCTCCAGCTGCCTCCGGACCTGTGGGGCGACAAGCAGCCGCGCATGCACGACGAACACATGGAAATGGATGGCATGGCCACAAAAAAGACCAGGCTTTCCGAAGACCAGGCTAAGGGTGGTGAACTCCACTTCCATGCGAATATGTGGTTTGGGGAACGTGCCATGAGATAGGGGAGGGCCACAACTCCAATGTATGAAAGCAATGTCGATCAAAGTGGTCCTTGAAAACTGCTCACCAGAACCATCAAAACTGGACTGTAGAGGACTGTAGTCGAAAAACTTTTTCGCAGAACGGACAGACCAACACCCGGCAGAAATAGGAGGGCTGCTATGTCCTCCAAATAATCATATATCAAAAGGTTCCAAGATGTCGTCCAATCACTTGCTTGCTTTTTTGGACTGTCGCCGTGCGCCTCAGGCCACCTCGCTACGTGGCTACGCGGCTATGCCGCTCCGGTCCTTCTCTGGGCGGATAACCATGTAGAGCAACAAAAACCACATCAAGAATGATGCGCGGGTTAATCTGTAAGTATCCAATGGTCTTGCATCGGATCGAAAAATGTAATACGACCAGCCCTTTTTGAATGGAAACAAGGTGGTTCCAATCTGCAAAAGCAGCCGATGCTGGAGGAACCAGGCCTCTAACATGCCCAGAAAAGGCTATGGCAGCCGTTGTGCCGAAGACATGGGAAATCACGGGCAGTTCACCGCTGGTGCGCCCGGCAGGAAAATATGCTCAACCACAGCAGCAGTGCCAAGGGTGCATGGCCGGCCACGCCTGCCGGCCAAAGCGTGGCGTGGCTCAAACCGTCGTGGCGGTTCTGTAGTGCTGCAAGAAAATAACTGATCTCCCCCAAAGACCGATTCTGTTCTCCTTCATGCTTTGAGTACATGTTTAGCTTCATCATCCCGCCCTATACGTAATTCGTCGTGCAAACAGAAAGCCCTTGTTCTCCTCCCTACTTCAGGCAGACAAAAGTTTACGCTTGTTATTTTTTTCCACGAGTGCGGACGCCATGTGGGCGGTGTGCCCAGGTCATCAACAAAAGTTTACGCTTGTTAGCCTTCTTACAAAACACTCTGAGGTCAGCGGCGGATCGAATTAACCAGTCGAATTTTCGTGGCAGGTGTGGGACGGTCAATTATCACACCGTTTTAAATTTATATTAATAAAAGGCTTTCCGGGGTGACAAATGACCGCCCACACCTTCCCTTGTCTCAGGGTGTAGGATTCTAAGGGGATAGGGTCGTCATGAGTTTCAACATCAACAAGCGCAACTTTCTTCTGGCCAGTGTAACGCACATCTCGAGGATTGGCGAACCCGAAGAGGTTGGAGCTTGACGTGCCCCTGTGGAGGGTCGAACTTGGCACAACGGTCTTCCTGTTTGTCACCATTCTGCGGTGACAATTAAGGCTCAAAAACGATTCAAGAAATACACTCTTTCCAGCAAAGGAGCCGTGCGGGCATGGTTCTGGCACTCTCCCTCTGTTTTGGCACTTGTTTTGGCATGGTTTGGCTATCTCACAGCCCGTAGCTATCTCAGGTAGAGCTCCACCGAGGGAGTTGAAGGTCTCTCCCTCTCGCACGATCGATGCTGCAATAAAACAGCCCGCTCAATCGCCTTCGATCGCCAAGGATAGATCAGTTGAACACTTCGACATGTCATGTGGCGATGTCGGGTGGTGGCGTATAGGGAGCGGGAGCTGTTCATCCTTGGAGGGAGGCGGAGGCGAACACCCCACCTTCACTTGCACCCCTTCGCACTTTGTCGCCTGAATGGAGCTGCTCCAGGCGTCCTGTGGCTATGGCCTCCATTCGGCACACGGCGCAGGACTCCGCCGTGACCTGGAGATCGGATTCGCGATGGTCTCATGAGGGGATCGGATTTCATGCGCCCGGCTGCGCCTTTGGGGCCTCCGATTGGCTTCCATTGGCTTCGAACCAAAACCTGGTGACAACAGGTGCCCAGAAACCACCTGTTAGGCTTCTAAAACTACCTGTTGGAAGGTCCTGGTACATGTTGGTCGCACATGTGAGAGTACCGATTTTCTACCACGCTCCAAGGCCTCCAAGGATGAACCATGAACGAGGTTGATCGTGCCCTGTAACTGTAACACCCTGGAGGCCCGCGGACCCGAGCTAAGCGACCAAGCTCCAACGAGTCAGATTGACCAAAGAACGAGACATGTTCCCTGCCAGGTGGGTACTCTGTGAGCTTTGGATCTTCTGTTCTTTTATTCCTGGGGGCGGGGCTACTAGCACAACCCAACATGCCGCATGTGGCATGTAGCATCATGTAGCAAGTTCGCCGACGTCTTCGCAAGTGGTCTTGGAGTTCCAAGTTCAGAACCATGGATTTCACTATCAGCAAACCATCCCAAAACCCTTGACGTTGAATCCCGAAACGTCTTGACGTTCGCCCGCTCGGCCGCTTTCGGCCGCTTGGCTCAAGCCCTCCGCCCACCTGAAAAACAGAACCTGATGTTTCATGAAGCAGCGCAGCTTGAATCCCCGCAGGTTTCATCACTAAAAACATGTGCACCCCATTAAGGCCTACTCTCATATCCGTTGGGACTAAGACTCCTTTTCTGGGAAGGCTCCCTGAAGTCACGAAGCCACCACTGGTCAAATTTTCAAATGAATCACTGGCCCTCTACATGTCTTCTAAACAAGGTTCACCACCCGAGGTGCGTTGTAGGCCACCAGCTTCTCCTGGAAGATCTTCCGTGCTTCATCGTACACGAGACCTCAGTACCAGCTCGCTTCGCAGACGCGAGCGGCTCGTTTTAATCGCAGCACCGGTGGCACCGGTGGATCTTTCCTTGTATTTTTTCTCCGTGGGTGATGCCATCCCAACTCCAAGAGGGGGCCCGGTGTGGTTGATATGTCAACCAAAAATGTCATGTGTCGCCATATGGTTTCCAAGATTACTGTCAATGACAATGTCAATTCATCAACCTGGATATAGTGGTTAGTGGTTCATGGACACACACCTATATAGCGGCGGACCCGATGGCGAATCCAATCTCTGATTTCTGACCCAGGTGCGACTGACTCATCTCAGGCATTCATAGAGACCCCGCCCACAAACCCAAACCGAAAAGGGTGGACTGGTCAACCTCATTCGAACCTCAAAAACCAGAATCACCCTGGCATTCGCTGGATTGCTTTGAAGGGACGGCAAGAATCTACAGGAAACCACGGGTGTTCACACGTTTTCACCCCTCAAACAGCTAAAAACATATGGGTTTCCCGTACATATATAGATGTCCCATGATGTTCCCTTAAAAGCCAAATATCTGGGAATGTTTTCTATGTTTTATTAACATGTCGAAGTTCTCACCTCTTCCAAGCGGCGGTCCAACACGTCCCGAAAGCCCTCCAGTTCCGTGACGTCGTAGGAGGAGTCAGGACTGCTGGAGTTGCTCCTGAGCGACGTGAGCGACGTGCTTCAGCGTATGGGGACCTTTAGGCAAACTGGAGGGTCTTGGAGAGTACATGGCACAATCCCCAAGTTAGGTGGCAAGTGCGGACCCCAATCTAGAGGAGTGTGGGAGGACAACAGCGAACAGGAAGTAAGGACATCTGCTCCACTTTTGACATTTGATCCAATCAAGTGGACATACCACCCCTCAAACAAACGCAGCGGTGCAAAGAACATCCACTGCAAACAATTAATACCAAACCAAACCATGCCTGCTTGACTTGCAAGAGCACACACATGCAGCTTGCACCTTTCATCCAAGACAATATCGCCTTCAACCGCTTGATGCTTGCATGGGAATGCCCTGTCCTTTTTTAGCCCACCATCCTCCCCCCCTGCCGAAAAAATCCGGTCCCTCGTGCGGTCGGGCGGCGGTCGATCGTCTTCGAAGTCGGAGTACAGGCAAGGACCTGCCACTGGGGACTGGGGCCGGGCCGGGTCTTGGGGCAATCCTCCAGGAACATGCTCACACATCCTTGCAACTCAGGTCGTTTCAGTGAATCCTCCAATGTCTGGACGGGCAGAGTGTGATTTCTTGAAAACATCTCAGAAGCCAACGACCCCTTTTTAGGGTGAGTCCGGAGTCAGATTTCATCTCAAGAACTTCACATGCTTGGCTCTCACAAGAAAGCCACAGAAAGCATTGCGCCGGACGTGGATCCATTTGGATTCAGAAATGAGCTCCGCATAGCTCACTAAGGGGTCATTGACTCATTGAACATCATTTCACCAAAGGACTGGTCATGACTTACTCCTTGACCGTCTTGCCTTACTCCCGGCCTCGCAACGGTGCTGTTCCAAAAGGACCCGTCTAAAAAACTAAAACAAACCATCACGTACCGCTCACATCCAGTCCCCACCGCCGATCAGACCACACGACCGGAACCGACCGGAACCTCCCAGCATCTGGTGCAAAAGGCACATGGAGAGGTCCCACTCCTCGAGGATCCCAACGAACCTGAGGCTTCAGTGGGCGACACGCGCCACACCGTCGCTTCGCTTCCTTCGGCGCGAAAACTCGCGTCGCTGGCTTTTCTCGCGTCGCTTCCTTCGGCGTCAGGGCGTCTCACTTCCAGGGCGGAGGGGAGCGGTGAAACGGAGGCCAACAAAGTCGTGGAAAAAACTCAGGAACTTGAAGTGGTCCCTGTCGCTGGATTTGGGTGATGCTAAATATAGATCTAAATCTCAACGGCTCGGTGGACTGTGGATCTTTGGAACCGGCCCGGGCTGCCCGGCCTGCACAATGATAGGTATGGTAGTTCACTATGTACTATGTTCACTACCTTTTGTAGCATAGATGGATGCCTTCCCCCTCCGCAAGCAAAGCACAATGGCCCCCGAAACACTGCTAATCCCTACGATTGATCGTTCAGCAGTTCAGCCCAAGAATCAGAGTCCGAACCCCTGCTAGATTCTGTTTTGAATGCCTGGATTCGCACGGAAGAGCTAATGCTCAGCCACTAAGCGACCTGCTTACCATTGATTGTATAGCTTTCTTTGATCCATTTCTTCCTTGTTGGGGCGGTGTTCCCTCATGAAACTGGCCCTTTGGTCCATTGTGATCGTGCTCGCTACGGAAAAACCACCAAGGCGCACGAAGCCCTCTCGCAGGCGTCGAGCTGCTGCATGAGCATCCGCCTGTTTCTCCGATCGGAATCGCACCGGCACGATGGCGCTGCGGGAGGAAGGGAGTTTGGGAACGTTTCGTCATCGTCGATTGAGGTAGACTACACTAAGACAACTGGTAACTTTAACATGGGCCCTCTCTATATCAACGGGCTTTTCAAAGGTCAATTCTCCATGACCAGTGGCATCCGGTGGCACAAAGGAAGAAAGGTCAGGTCACATGGTGCAGATCAGACCTGTTAACAAACAGGTCTGACCAAGGTTGATCTGTTTCATCCCTTTTCCACCTGCTCGGCGTGGAGTGGATGTGTCTATCCCAAATACCAATAGCTACAGTGCGTCATGGTTCACTTGCAGGCCTTCGTGTAAAATAGCGATGTGTTTGCTTATACTGACTGCTACAGGTAATAGATGGTAATAGGATGTAATAGGACATACCCAACCAATCTCAAATCTCAAACAAATTGCCAAGTAATTCTCCACTTGTCCACTGGGACCTTTTTCCCCCTGACGGTCCTGGTGCCGCTCTCTCTTACGCAAACCGGTCCCCCGAGGGACTTCAGGTGCCTCCCGACTTCCGAGTCGTCTCCCGCACCTCGGTCACCTCGCACTTGGGCATTGGATCCACCGACTTGTTGCCCATGAGTTGGCACGTCATCAGCCCTCCCGGTACGGAACGAACGCTGCGAACCACGCGGAACCCGTTTTGGGCAGGTGTCCGGTCACCACCCGTGACGGAAGGAACGAACCGCCAAGCGGCCGGGTGGGTGGAAGTTGTGGTGCACCCCGTGACGGAACGATGCGAGGCACGAGGCGCGGCTGTTGAGAGAGTGATCGCGGAGGCGAGCAGCTTCACGATCATCGGTTTCGTGTTAACCATGCCAAGTTTATTGCAACTTAATATATCTTCTCCATATCTTCTCCCTCGTAGCTTCTTGTTACTAGTAGCGATGGCCTCCAACTTAATAGCGATGGCCTTCACCTAGTAGCGTAGCGTTCTTGTTGCTAATCATGAAAAAATACGATAATGATACTTATATAATACTAATGATACATAAAATGGTCGGTCGCGCCATGTGGGCCACGCCAAACGTGTCCTTCAATAAAAATGTAGGTGTATACATGTCTATGAGATGCTGATTGAAATCTGTGGAACTCGTGACATGACTCGGTAAGCTTCAATCTAGAAATGTCTCAAAGAACTATAGGAGGGAAGAAAGGTGCTGCCACTTTAGCCTTTTAGACTCCAAGAATGACTCCAAGCGGTGCAAACGACCCATGACCAATACAAACAGACCTATGCTACCGATATGAACAATATCAAACAACATAATTATGCCCTTCTTCCCCTAGATCTTATCAATGTAAATATCAATGCCACAGGCTCAGAATCAAGAGTTCCTTCTTTGACATCTCTCGCCCACTGCCCCCCTGGCCCACAGCGTCCCGAACGCTCCGCCCAGCGACGCGCCTTGCACGGCTTTGGCGTAAGAGGACCTCAGTGTTGAAGCAAAAACTGCCTAGCACAGCTCGCTGCCCAACGCCGCCTACACCAGCGTCCAAAATCGGATCTTGTCAAACCACTTGCGCTGGGATCACGTCCGGGAACGAACGGAGGAAGTAGTAGCGGGTGCAGTAATTAGTAGCGTCGCACATCTTCGCATCGCAGCTGGTGGCATCGCATCACTTCTTCTACTTCATGGTAATCACCTGGAATGTTGCTTTTCCAAGTCGATATCCCGAAGCCCTCCAAAGTTGGAGCACCCCACAGTCACGGCACCAACGGCAGCAACTCCGCCACACTTCAAAGCCACAGTCCGTCCGTCGTCCGTCTTTCTTTCCGCGGCGCGCGTTGGCGAAGCGCGAGGCCCCATGATCCCAGCGTGTGTCGTGGTAGGCGGAGAGGATGCGTTGCTCTGGCTGCCGCAGCATCGTCACCAGGTGGCCTAGCTGCAGCATCGCCGACTTGAGGGGAGGTGGTCGTGATATATCCAGCTCATGAGGGGAGGTGGTCGTGATATGTCCAGCTCAACTGAGCTTGACACCATAGGCACAACATGGCAACTCAAGTCAGCAAACACGTCCATGCATGGAAGAACAAAATCAACATGCCACGACATGAATATATACTTCAAACTAAGACTTAACCTAACCACCTGGTAGGAGGTTGCAGGTAAGAGAATTTGGCAATTATACAAAGCATGTCCTAGGTTCATTGGCTAAAGAAGCTTAATATCTGGCATCTCCTACCATCAAGACCAAGCAATCGAAATCAAAGATTGCGGAGGCTCTGGGTGATGACGAGAGATATTTACAAACGCTTAAGCTTTAAGGAGTCCTGATGGCACCCGGACTGAGCAAAGAACTCTTGGCACGGCGAAGGGGGTTCACTTCTGAGAAAACGCTGAGACATTGTGGTCAATTTGCTGTGCAGTGGTCCATGATTACTAGGATTCCAAACAACGTGGATTCATGGCCGCCATTTCTTCATCGAAAACAATGATCAACCTATACCCGCTCGCTCTGGCTTCTTGGATGACTACCCCTCAAGCTCACCGTCACTCACTACAGACGACCATCCAACAGGGCACGGCACGTGAAACTCACGACGCACACATAACGCACACATCCACATCGAGGACACATGAAATACATATACTCACAGTCTACCCAGACACGACTAATGGGACTGGAATGCCGCCCCATTGACCCCCCCAAACGTTTCTCGGCAGTCCGGACTGGCAGTCCCAGACAGGTCGTGTCTGGGCTAAGTGGGATGCTCGCTACTTGCGCCTTGGCGACTTGGCTCAAGTCCCGGCTCGCGTCTGGTTGACACCGAAGGTACCACCGCCCGGCCTTTGTAGGTCTCGAAGTTGACACCGAGGCCCTCGTGGGTATTATGTGCAGAGTTGCAGGTGAACTTGCTCTCATCACAAACCTGCAGAGTCAGGGCATTGCTAGTTTGTTGGAGGCCATCACTAATTAGCAGGTTGCAGGCCGTTGTTATTAGGTTGCAGGCCATCGCTAGTAGGTTGGAGGCCATTGCTATTGGGTAACTCATCATTGGCTCACGTTGCCTGACTCCATGGTGTCCTCCTGTGCTCCAAAGATATGACGCCACAAGAACTGAACAGAATGAAGTGAATCACGCACCTCCAAGGGAATTCTCTCTTCTGTGCTTGTTCTAGGTCAACCCTGCCAATGCTGCGTCCATCAGAGAAACCCTCGCCATCATTGGCTTCAAACACATGTGCATCAAAGCTCAACCACTATAGGTTCCTACCCTCGGCAAATCTGGAACTAGACCTGGTCAGGTTTCAACACCAGCACACGGGTGCGCATTGGAGGGAGACCTCCATAGATTCCCTTGAAGAACGACTCTAGACCAGGGTAGAACCTTGGTGGTGAGGGGTTTCCAACGCACATACCAGCACCCGACTCGTCACAGGTCTCCGAAATGGTAGCATGTTGCAGACCTTAGAGGAGATCGCAGGTGGTGACCTGGCAGGTTTTCGGGTGCTTATACGCCAACACCGCCGAAGAAGCACTGCTGCCGACCTTGGGGCACTGGTGCCAGAAGTCTCGCTCAAAGGACTTGGACCTCGCGCACGCTGCGCAAGCTCACGGAGAACGGAAGCTCCCACCAGCGACCCAAGTGATTCGGAGGGAAGCAGGGCTCCGAGAGTTCGAGATGTTCGATCTGCATTTCACGGCCACGGGGTCAACTGCATGTCTGTCTGCATTTCAACCACCTTCGATCGAAGGGAATACGGATGTCCACATCTTTTGATAGAAGCCCGAAGAAGCTTCCCCCTTAGTGTGTGGATTCCCTAGTAAGAGACCAATTGGTCAATGGTTGGGCATGCCAGCTGTTCCAACGGTTCAGCAGTTTGAAACACAAGTCGACCAGAAGTATGACAGAAAATCAGGTTGCTAAAGCGTTCCCTATTCCCAAACAGGGCATCATTAGGACATGATGGCACTGATTCAGGAAGCTTGGTTGGATTTCTGTGGGTAATGATCATGACGCTACAGTGGCCGCAGTTGAGCAACAATTCCAGGAGACTTGTAGACTCTCAAAAAGTCCACAAGATCCTGCGCAAAGAGTTTGCACAACGTGAAGCAAAGTTACCCAAAAGTGCACTACAGTAGATGCTAATTGAAAATGGTTTCATGATGTTTCATGTTCGCAGGCGTCTGGCTTAATTACCAGACACCTTCCCAGCTGAGCAGCAAATAATCCTCGTCCACGCGATAGTCCAAGTCCACTTCAGGACAAACTCCCGGTAGGTGGATGAGAGCGTTCCTGAGGACATCTGCCATCTGGCGGTAAAATCAACAGATCGACCGAACATCAGACCGAGCCACATGACCCAACTCCACCGAGCCACATGAAGGATCCAGTCAGACCATCCAAAGAGATGGGTCACACCCCTTGTGGGAAAGATGGAAAGGAAGGGCCAGTCAAATCGAAAAGGAGCCCAGCACTAGAAAAATTTCCAAGGCTGTGGAACCACAAGATTCTCGTGTAGGACCATTGCGTCTCCCGTTTTGTGGGGACCATTGCAAGGAGATGCAAGGAGGTATAAAGTGCGTTCTACTTTTGATCAGCTCACCCTATATCAAGAGTGCATCAATAATCCTTGTTCCTACTAGCGTTCTTGTTACTACTAGTAAGGCACCTGTTACTAGTAGCGTGGCACTTGTTTCTAAATAAACACAACATGCCCCTCAAAAGTCGAACTTGCAAGTCCCCAGTAGATTCCTTTGCTAGTAATTACAATTCTAATTAAATTCTTATTGTTACTAGTAGTAAGGCACTTGTTCCTAGTAGCTTCTTGTTACTAGTAGTAAGGCACCTGTTACTACTAGTAAGGCACTTGTTACTAGTAGCTTTGTTACTTGCCCCTCAAAAGTCGAACTTGCAAGTCCCCTTGTTTGAGCTGCAGCGCATCTTTTGTCGGTCCAGGACATTCTGTACGACCTGTAAGCTGTCGCCGCGCCACGCTGCCTCTCCCCCTCTGGTGGACCCCGATTCGGAGACAGCTCCGAGTGACAAGAACGACGTGCCGCATTTCGGTATGTGCCTCAGTGTCGGAAGTGGACCCCCGGGCGCCATGAGCCGGATCTGCGGACGCACTGGGGTGGCGGACTGGAAAGAAAGCGGCCGCAGTCCGCGAGCTCGCGACAGGGGCCAGCTACTGCGGCGGACGATGATGGCTTTGCGTGGAGTCGATTAGATTCTCCAACACTTACATCTTGCATGGTTGGGTGATCGCATTTGTGGTGTCGGCCATTGAAGTATAGCTGGGGAGAATAAAGAAAACACACACACCGCCTGGAAGGGAGGATGAGGGTTGGATCGATTTGCCCTTCAGTTCGTGGTTCCACTCACGACTCGACCGGTGGAACCACGGCGCAACTCAACCGGGCACCGCGAAGGCACTTATAGGGTTCCCCGTCTCAGTGATGATCTTCATCTCCCAGTCCCACAACCTATCTGGGACTGCCATATTGGCCGATCTGTTGCTGGGGCCAAAGGGGGGTCGTATTGATTATGTAGGCTTGTAACGCTTATAACTTATAACGCTTTTAACATCTTATAACTTATATTCTATACATGGATGGTCTGGGAAGACCCTGTCACCCTCCACGCCCTCTTCTGGGTCTTAGCTTTGAAAGCCTCCAACTCCCGTGCCAGGCCCAGCAGCAAGAACTTCAAGGGCTCGGCCCTACGAAGCAACTCCGTGCCAGGCTCAGTGTCCAAGCTCAGCTGCAGCTGGAGAAGCCAAGGATCGGTGCCTGATCCAACATGTACAGACTTAAGGGGTGAAACCTGCCTGTTGTTGGAGGAACACCAAGGCGAACACATGGAAACACACGGCAAAACAAAGAAACAAACTTCCAGGACCCCCTATATATAGGGTTTTCTATGCTCCTTAGAGGTGATTCGGGGTGTCCATCCACCACCCGTTGTGGGTCCTGGTTCTTTCCCTTTTCGATGCATGAGATTTGGCTTCAGCTGATGCCCGTTCCCACCCAGCAGGTTGGCGCTTCCTCGCGCCTGCACACGTCTCGACGTTTCCAGCCGCGCCGGCGAAGCCTGCACCGGATACACAACATGCGGCACTACGCTGCTCTGAGTGAGGTGGAGAGACGGTGTTCCGAAGAGTTACTTACAGTATATACGTCCTTCTGAATCTCTGTTCTTCCATTGTCTTCCCAGAAACAACACTAGGTCATACCCCGGGGGGGGGTCCTATTTAAAAACTCCAACAATGATCGAGAAACATGCAAAACGTACATTGGCCCCTGGTCTGTTGGGGGAGGTTTTCTTAGCTGCCGTTGGCCTCGGACCACTCAAGGCTTTCCACTGAGGGAAGGTCCTCTTGAGTCCCACTACTCCACTTGCTTCAACTCAAAACTTGCATGTTCTTCAGGAAATGAAGGCCTGGTTCCTTGATGTTCCTTGCAGTTCCTTCCAGTTCGTTTCCAGACTCAGTTTCCCCGCAGATTTGAGGAGTTTTCTGCATGGTTTCCTGACTCTCTCACGCGACATGAGTGGTTCCCCCTTCGAGTGGTCAGGCCAATGTGGTGAAGAAAGGCCAGTGCCCGCGTCCGAAGGGACGGAGAGCCAGAGCTCTCTAGAGGGCTCAGAGTTGGATGTTGAGGTCTTCTTGCAAAAGGGCATCGCGACTCGAACGGAACAAGCACGCTACGAACGTGGCTCCTGGCCTTACTACTAGGAAAAAGAAGCTACTGGGAGCAAGGGCATCGCTACTAGTATCAAAGAAGGGCATTACTACTAGCATTCTTGCTATTAGTAACAAGAAGCTACTATTGGGAGCTGTGGAATTTGATGGAATTTTGCACTCCTCAGATCCGTCCCACCTGCAATCAGCCAGCGATACATGCCAGCTTCCCGCTCAGCTGGCTCAGCCCCGCCATGGGGCCATCGAGATCGGTGTGGAGACCATTTGTGCTACCGATGGGTTGATCTGGACTCCTACACGATAAGTCAAGTGTTGATGGTGTGAGACGTCTGCAACATTGAACTTCTGCCAGATGTCTCTTCGAACAAACCGCCTTAACCTTGGTCCGATCGGCCTGCCCATCGCATGTGTTTTGGGATCTACAAACCCATCACTTTCCGCTTCTCTTCGGTGCCGCTTCTCTTCGGTGAATCGGTGCTTCGGTCGGTTCGGTCCTCGCTCGATCCGCCGAGCGTGGTCTGCGCATTGAGGACTGGACATGCAAAAATGTCTAGGTTATGGCTACATAAGGTGTGCTAAACAAGTGCCCGGCTTCCCACTTTGATCATCTGTGATCATCTGGGATGTTTGGACTATTGTTTCAGGAAGATCCTTGCCTGTAACCCCAGGTGGTGGATAAAACTTGTTGTGAGGCTTGCGATTTCTTCAACTGGTGCTGCAGGAATTGTTCCTTCAGTCGAATCCTACCAAAGCACTATAGAGCTATTTAATAGCAAGTTACCTGCAATCCCAAGAATTAGTTGGTCGGCAACACATGCCACAATATGCAGCCTCATATAGCCTGATCAAACTCCACCTCCACCATAATTCTTTTTGGACACTCACGCCGGAATGGTATTTTTTTATTTTTTGTGGCACAGCCTACGCGCACCACCGAGTGGCTGTGCTTTAAAGCACTTTTGCAAACGCACTCCGAACAGTCTTGTTACGGAGGCGTACCGTGGAAAACACGTTGCTCGGCGAGCTCGACGGTCGACCATGGTCGTGGTCAAGCAAGCAAAGGTTCTTGGGATGACATGTTCGGTGTAGTGCACACAATTTCACAGGACATGACACTCGACACCCTGCAGAAATGAATTGCTGACCCTCTGGGAGACTTGTACGACACCCTGCAGGTGCGTCACTTGGTCCCGAAAAATGCCCGAAGCCTCCCGAAGCCACCCGTGCTTCACTCGGTCGGCCGAGGTTCCCGCTCGATCCGACTGAGCGACGTTCAGGACCCCCAGCTTTGCAAGCTTTGCGGCATCTGGGCGGTTTTGGGAGGAACCCCCTGGGCAGCATTGTGACATTCCTGCCACAAAGGAACCCCCTCAGGAGCAGCCCTCAGTTCCAGGAGCTGGTGCACGCCTCAAGGGAGGGAGGGCGAGGGCGAGGGAGGGAGGGCGAGGGCGAGTTTGAGAGGAAAGAATCCCTCATGTATGAGGGGTCAAAAATGTGTGTAGGCATAAACAACCTATCTTTATGATATGTAATACGATATGTATGTATACCGCGTATGAGTTAATAAATATTGTAACCTAGAGATCATACACACATGGAGAAGCGGTTTCAAAAAGCATGGTCCTGTTGACATTTGAGTGAGGGATTCTTTCTTGAGGATCGCCATCACCTGAAGGGTGATAAGTTAGCACCTCTGGCAGAAAGAAGGCAAACACAAGCAGCAGGGGTGCTGGACGCACATTCTTGTCATTCTCCACTCACTTAGGGACAGAAAAACAGAATCTCCGCGCCGACTCCAGGGGCAGGTCATGCGTCACTATATGATACGTCTATTGAAAGCTGGGTATGGTTTATCGACTGGGTTCTAGTTATTCTGGGATGGTAGGAGCCATGGGCCATGCTGGAGGGATGCTACGTCTGACGCCTGGTGGATCTGGACCCTTCCTGCTGCATTCCACCTGGTAAGGGGAGCATCTTCCCATCCAGAGGGGAGCAAACAAGGATGTCCACTGATGTTCTCTGGCCCTGCACAACAACACTCGGGAGTCGAAAAATTCCACGGCGTATTCCTGCAAGGCCTTTATTCAACAACAAACGAACAGTAAATATTATATACACCAGGAGTCACAAAGGGGTGGTGTTTAGTCCCTAAATGAGTGGATCATGGACACCCCTAACCTCCATTAAGCACCCCTTTGTACCACTTCATCTTCCCTATGTATAGCCCCTGCTTCTGGTCGATGGGCTGAAAATTCGGGCTCCAAAACCGCCTGTGTCTACCTCTGTGGGCCGGTGACACAAAACACATACCTCTGTCATTCTGTCTGCCTCTGTGGGCCTTTGTCTACCTCTGTGGGCTGGTTCCACCAGGGTTGGGAGACGAGCCCACTCCTCTTGGATCTCTCGGCTCTCTTCATGCCGTGCGCATGACCGGGACGCGCGCGAGGAGGGGGATCTGGAGCCACCGAGACTGGGCCGAGACACCATCGATGGTGCACACCACCCCAAGGAGCAAGACCCAGCTGATCAAAAGCAGCAAAGGTCGATCCTCACTGGTCCAGTGCCCTCGGCACTGGACCAAGGCGATGAAACCGCGAACATGGTGGAGAATCAGGTGGAACGTGAGGTCAACGAACCCCCCGGATCCAATGGAAAGCTGCCCCTTCAAACGAGAAATCCAGAATGGATCATAGAGCCACCATAGACAGTTTCAAGAACATCATGTAGTAGACTCTTGATTAATAACCCCCCATCTGGGGATTCTAAACCGATGGCAGGAAAAAAAACGGACCCGGCATAAGCACTCCAGTCTGTTTGGCCTCCCAAAATATCCACCATTTGGGAGGTGGGATAAAGGTTCAAGGGATCAGATTAGCCTTCCGATCCACGAGCATACTAGGAGGTGTTTCGGCAAGGCGGGCTGTCCTGGGTTTTAGATGATCCTAGAATGTGTGAAAGCTTTGAGGATGACATCTTGATTCAGGTCTCCAAAATGCAGGTCTCCAAACATGATGCCACATCAAACTCATAGAACAAACCTCGAGCATGGTTTCCAAGGTTCCATGCAAAATCATGCCTTTGAAACATACAACCTGCCTATGGATTCCATGCAACTTTCCTGACGCATCTTGACGCCCTACTAGGCTTCGTGCTCCATGATGCTGATGCTGCTTCATACCATACTGGATCGGATCCAAGGCTAGGGTGGAGGCCATCGCTACTGGGTGGAGGCCATTGCTACCGGGGTGAGGCCATCCCTACTAGATGGCACGGTCATCCTGTCAGAAGACAGGACACAATGAGCAGAACGACCGTCTCTTCGAAAGAGTCGACTTGGAGTGGTGAGAAGCCTCTTCAACTTCTGACCAAAGCTCCCAGCCCCCAGCTTCGCGGCGTGGCAGAAGCACGCAGTAGACCAAGACCAAGGCAGGCAGCACAATGCTGATCCAAACTCCACACGTACAGGTGAGCGCCACCTGCAACCGGGTCAGTCACGGTCGGTCCATGTCGGTCAATCCCGGTAGCAAAAACGGTCAAACATGCGCGGTGACGCCGAGGTCAGGGCGGGGATGGCCTCACACAAACCTTTCAGATAGAACACCGGAAGAACAATGGAGAACAGAAGCTCCGAACGAAACTGGGTCACTCCTTGCCCTCCTTGCCCTCCTTGCCCTCCTGGTTCGAGGTCCCGTCCTGAAAGTTGTTGAAGGCATTCCAGCCCACGACCGCAGGAATCAAGCTGGAGGACAAGGTAAACCAAAGGTTCAACCCGAAGCGGATCGGAAGCTTCGCTGTCCCCAACGGCCTGTCCGCGAAGCCGAACGCGGTCCGGGTGCGCAAAACGAATGGGGTCCTTGCAACGGAGGGAAGTTGGTGATCTGGGTGATTGGATGTGTTTTCCGGGAAGGTGCCCATGTACCGTTCAAACAGAAGCTATATAGCTGCAATTTCTTCTATAATAGGTAACTACCGTAGATGGACGAAATATTCAAACATATTCAAACCCTTCCAACCACGTGGACCCCTTCTACCCCAAAGCTCAATGTTAGAGATCTTGTAGGAGTGCTTCGCCGAATGGAGGAAACAAATCAAACCCTGGAAACACAAAATTCAATCAAGTCATGTTCAACATTGACCTTTGGGGGTCAGGGGTTGACCAAAGTTATTGATACAGGGGTTTGAATATTTGGTCCATCTACTGCAGTATATCATCCAGAAAGATCAAACAAAGATAAACAAGCCAGGAGTCACAAAGGGGTGGCTTTTAGTCCTTAAGTGAGTAGATAATGGGCACCCTTATCCTCTAATAGGCACTGCACTGCTGGAGAAGTGCTCTCCCTCAAACCTCGCTACTCCTCAGTAAGTCCAGGACGCTGGTGACTCGAGTCTAACAATAAACGACCCCTACTCGATCGTGGAGTTTGAGGTTTTGAACGGGGAAGCGCAGCTTGCAGCTTAATGCTTTTGGATACAAGCCATCGGTGCGAATCGGCAAGCCATCCATGAACTTGATTGAAGTATTTTATACCTGGTTCTTCAAAGTGACCCAACTTGATATCCTGGTTTGAGGTCACAAGTTGGCAATGAAGATGTGATAGAAATCTGTCAGTCCGAGATGCAATAGGCAAAAGTTCCTTGAACACACCAATGCCCTTATAGTGAGCTCGTGTGCAATTTTTGCCGGCCACATGGTTGATTATGGAAGTGGATGGCGCGGCTGCTTGGAAGACTACTGCCTTTCGAAAACAAGGGGTTTTCCTAGTTTTCCATGTTAAGTTATGTTAAGTTAGTGAGTCAAAGTGAAAGACCATTCGAGGAGAGTTCCACCCGTAACCCAGCAATAAGCATGATCTCCGCTTGCAAAGTGGGGGAGAAATCCCGCCTCTCTTCGCCGGTCGCCGCTGCCATGAAACCCCAAACTTGCGATTTGCAGGGCAACAGAACCAGTGGCAATTCCAAGATCATCACGACCGCCATGCCGCCCTGCAAAATGCTGGTGAGAACGTCTGGATACCTGATGCTGGTGAAAACGAAAGAGAAGCGTCTCGTCCAGACGACACGACACGATCAATCTCCACAATCTCTGCATTGTTTCAAATCAAAGACACCAACATGAACTCCACATGGTCGCGACATTTCTTCACCACCATCTTCTAGGACCTTTCGAGGGCCCCCCATGACTGGTCCCTGAATCACATGGAACGAGAACACTTGACGCCTTGGCATGGGTAGACACGTACCTGCAACGAGGGAACCAACCCCCTTTGGGATTCCAACCCCCTTGGTAGATCCTTAGAGGCGACGACTCAAACTCGAGCAGCTCGGCGCTGCTGAATCCTACCCATCATGTAACCAGCAGTGCCAAGACCAATCATCCAGATTGATGAATCGATCCCACAACCCTCTCTGAAAGTCAACATCCACCCAGCACATGAACTGTCTGCTGAGGATGGATGTCTTACCATTCATGCCTGAGCTTCTCAAAATTGACGGCGTTGCCCCCCCCCACACACATGCTGCTCTGCAATGGTAGGTCTTTTAATTCTCCATCCGCAAAGCTCGAACGAGCACACCTTCGATCGATCGAGCTGTTGTTCGTTTGATTCCCGGGACGCACATTCGATTGATTGGGGGTGTCCAAGGTGTCCAGGACCCCCGTTTTCGGTCCTGGACCCGCCGGAGCCACCGAGGCGCTTCTGGTCGTAGACGGTGAAGTATTGGAAGGTGACGGCGTCTCCCAGGGCGCCGTAGTTCGCCAAGGCTAAGAGACAGCAGGTGGAGGCTTGCAGGGCGACGGCCCAAATCGGACACCTGAAGTGGCGCGGAAGTGAGGTGAGAAAGACTGAGAAAGGCGGAAGGACGGAAGGAGACGGTCCAAACTTTCTGACTCGTGTTGGTCTGACTCGCGCGAGACGCGCGACTCTGACTCGGTCGGAACGCGGAAGGCGGTCCATAACATCGGTCTTAGGGGGTCATGTTCAGTAGCGTGGGGGGTGGATGGAGAGAACGTGGGGATGTTCAGATCAGCACTGCGCCCCTTTTCAACCACCCCGATGTCATGTGGGATATGGAATCTATGCCTGCATTCACCCCTCTTCAACCACTCCGTGGAGTGTCAGCCCGTGGAGTGTCTGGGAATTCGTTGGTAATACGTTTGTGCACGGTCACTCCGGACATAGGGTGGAGGAAATGATAACAAGTCTCACCAAGACCCAGGCGCCACTTGGATGCCATGGTCCGCAACGAGGGCTTCAAATCACCCGCCAGCTGAGGCCTGGAGGTGCACAGGTCACACCAAGCCGAAAGCAAGCGTGAATAGATGTGGTGAAGGGGAACCCTATGGCCAGCTGGTTCATGGGAGGCTCGTCCGCCTGATGGAGTATTGAATACGAGTAGGGGCCCGGGGGCTTTGCCAAAACATACCTCCCAGCCCTGATCAACCATCTCCCATGTTGAGAAGTTGTTCTTGGGCTGAGTGAGGTGGGATCGATGCAATTCCAGTCATAGGATGTCATAGGCAACTTCCCCAAAGTAAGAAGCTCTCGCTCATTCGTGGACGTTGGTGACTGCAAAGGGTATGACCTTTCTGGGAAGGCCTGGCAACTCATTAGCAGGCAACTCCTTCAACTCCCAGCAAGAGGCATGATTCCAGAGTTCGCCAGGCAAGCAGATAACAGCCCAAAGACTGCTGGCAGTCCACTCGGCCGCCAAGCGGTGTGATGTGCCTCAAATCATCTCAAATCCCAAATCCCAAGCCGGTCGGACGCAAGTCGCTAGGGACGTGTGCGCGAGTGCCCTTCAAATCCAGTTGTCGCAATTTAGTGGCGAGCAAGTGCGACCGTGTCGCAAGAAGAAAAGAACACTGGTCAAAGCATCAAGAAGTCCCAAATGCCTCAAATCCTTTCTGAGCAGTAGAGGCCAAGTGTGGGTCTGTTGCATCCTATCGCAGCTTGTTGTGGAGAGCGACCCTCTCAAGGACTCCTTCGTCTCGACTGAAAACCCTCCATATCCTCCATCTCCTGCCTGACAAAAATCGGACACCAACCATCACCCAGGTAGTCTTTACCGCCATCCACCGGCCAAAAACCACACACCGGAACCCCCCTCTCCATCGCGTCAGACTCCAGTGCCACCACCTCCCAGTCCACCCGTGCGAGGGGCCACCGTTGCGGGGTTGGCTCGAGTCCAAACGAGAAAGCCCTTGAGTACGGCGGTGAGCACTAGAACCACTTTGGTCGCCAGGCTGACCGCGTTCACGGAGAGGGACAAACCTGCAGGACGTCCGCCGCGACCGGTTCGGCGAGGTGGAGGGGGTGCGCTCGGATCATATCGGAGGCATCGTTCTCATTGATCGTCAAGGTGTGAGTCAAAGAAACACAAGAAAAACGTCAAGTTGGCTGGGGCACATCCATAGAGCTGCGAGGGGTAGCAGGTGACGAAGACCACCAGAAAAATGGGAATGCTCAAGTAGCACTCGCTTTGGCAAAGCCAAAAACTGCCGTCGTGCGCACAAAGCACGGGGCAGAGCTGTTCCTCAAATCCAGAATCCAGGCTCGGAGAACTCGAATTTGGCAGCACTAGTCATGTACGAAGACAAAGGCGTCACACCAAATCATTCTTGCGTGGGATGACCCAAATCCTGCATGGATCCTACAATCATATCTATCTCCAAAAAACAAAATCAAATCAGCCTAGTGTAACAAGCTCATTCAATTCCAGAATGTGCAATAAAGTTTACAGGAAACATGACCGGAAACCCCTACTTTGGAGGGTGAGAGTATGGATTCCTCTATACTATATAAACCAGGGCGAAAGCGGCATGGTCTACGGCTGCGCCTCTCTCTCAAGAGGCCGACGTGCACTCCAAGATCTCTTCAGGTCTTCCCACACCGCCCCAGTCTCCTCAGGGTAAAACCAAGCCCCCCCCCAAGCAGTTCCAAAGGAATTATTTTTAGATGTTCTTAGTCGCCCAAGTGAGTGGATCATGTGGATCACCCCTTTGGACCTTGTGGATGGGCGGAACTTCGGCGGAACTGCTGGGTTTTTCACGGTCTCGGAACTTTGCTTCGCAAGGTCTCGGAGATGAATTCCTGGATGAATTGCACGCAGAAGCCGCCACAGCCCCACAGGAACAGCACGCCGCTCCAGACGCTCACGCGCCGTGCCCACGTGGGCAAATCCTCACCTCGAGGGATCATCTTCCATCGAGAAGAAGTGGCCCCTTGATTCTACCGTTGATCCATTGTATACTTGTTCAAAACATCTTTGCAAAACATAATTGGGCCCCATCAAAAATAGTATATTCAACGTTTATACTGTTTACTGTAAACACTCCTTGATTCCTTCTTGAGTTTTGAAGTGTCCAAACATTGCTACTTGTTCGATGAACATGTACCCGCTCATAACGGATGAACATAGGACATAGGGGTGAGGAAGTGGTGCTCTTTTGGAAGGCTTAGGCTTCGTGCGGGGTATCCATAGTAGGCTGGCCCTTCAGAAGGCTCCAAAATGAGGTTTGATCCAGCAGCATGGTCAAGCCATGCTCGCTGACAAATGTGAAATGTGAACCATTGACTCATTATGTTGCACTGCACTTGCTTACAGGGTTTCCAGTCGCGCTCCTCAACACTTTCGGTTGTCACCAACCTGGATGGCAACATGTGCCTTGAAAGCTTGAGCATTAAAGAACCTACCATACCTGGGGGTACAACATCATACTGATGCATGCGCAACAAGGATCCATGATGAGATCCATTTTCACCAAAACACACACACACACACACATGTAATCACAGGGGACGAATTGATGGCTAGTAGGAGGCCTCATTCCTAAAAGTGATCATGCCAAATTCCAATTCATCACCTTTGCCACAGGAAAACATCTGGAAAATAAGACAAAATAAGTAAACTCCCAACATCTCCAATTCCAAACCTTGTTGAAACGTCTTAGCTCAAGGTCCCAAGAAATGCTCGGAACCCATTGGAGCGGTTTCACATCCATGACCGAGGAATGGATCCCATCTGCGAGGAGGGCGGTTTCCACAGGGACCTGGAAACTGGGACCTAATCATGCATGCAATCATTCGTCTGACACAGGCCTTTAAATCTAAAAACAACTTATTATAGACATACAACACCCATCAACACCCTCCCAAACAATCGATGAAAGACCTTTAAAGAGCTTCCTGGGGCCCCCAAAACGACATGCACACACTCCGTAACCTTTCTACCGCTCCCAGCGGCACATCTCATCGAAGGTGTGCGCCTTCCGTTGGACACCTCGGTCGGTGCAGCGGGGCGCAGCTCCGAACGAACGGATTCGTTCGCGATGGCGCTCCGCTGCGAGTCGTGCTCGCGCGCGTCGCGTCGTCCTCCCGTTTCGCCGCCCCGGCGTCCGATCTACCGCGTCCCCAACAAGCGTCCGATCGCTCCGTTCGTCGCGGAGGGCAGGGCCCAGAGGGTGAAAATCATGACCGGACCGCCTCACCGACCTGTAAGCCCTTCGCGAACGGTCGCATCCTGACGGTGCCTTTGGCCCCTCGCGGTCCGGTGTAGAAATGAGTCATGGAGGCATATGGAGGCCTCCCACATGAGGTTTCTGCAAGTGTCACGGCTGGTGACCCACTGGTAGAAGAAGGTCCTGAGAACTGGTTGCTTTTGTGTTGGCCCACTTCGATCCCGATTTAAGATCTATATATGTTGATCTTTGATTTGGCCTGTGTCTAATCTGCATCTTTGCTTGCTCCTAGGAAACAACATGAAACAACTAGAGCTGCAAGCCCCCACTTCATCGCCAGGCAGCTGGCGGCCATGAGGGCTTGCTGCTCCAAGACCGCGGTGGTTCCCTCCGCAACGCGCGGGGTTGGATGAGTGCATTTGTGTGGAATTATGCTTATATGCAATTATAGTTACATCAAGTTTCCACATGAAGTTTGGGATCTGTAAATGGATCTATCAATATCAAATAGAATCTACCATTGGAGCGATGTGTGGGTTGCTTAGACTAGAATTGCCAACAAGCAGCTCAAAGCGTCAGCACAACCGGTGCGCCTAACTATAGACACTAAGGATGAAGGCAGGTCTTCAACAGTGGCCAGGAAGTTACGGGCCGCAAGAACCCCACTTTCCCGGACTGTCCTTTCGAAGCTCCTTTCCTCACGTCACGTTTCCTCCCCCGGTTCGAATCTTCTGGAACAAGTGCATCGCTACTAGTAACAATTGCCTTACTAGGTGGTAACAAGGTTTGCTATTAGAAACAATTGCGGAACTCATTTCTCACCGTCCCGTATGACCCTCACAGCCGGAGCAAACATCGAAGGCCCTACGCCGGAGCGACCTTGGTCCGGCTCGGTCGAAGGCTCGCCATGCGAGCCAGTCCCAGGGCCAAGGGTCCATCGATGCCAGCACCAGCAAGAAGCCCCAGTAGCCACACAGGCGTGGGTAGTAGGCAACAGTGCCCAAAGTCCCCGAAAGCCCAGAGTTGAAGGAGATCATCACCGCTTGCCTGTGAGATGTTCTGGAACCAAGCGCCACACAATGGACAAACAGACGCCAACATTCAGCATGTCGTGTCAAAAATGTCCGCTTGAAACAAATGGTTCTGGGATTGCTGTGCAAAAAGTTTTGATGTTTGCCGTCCTTTAAAACTGGTCACGAGGTGAAAACGCCGCCGAAAGCAAGAACACGTGTGGACCCGGCCCTCTGATGTGCAAGAATACGTGTGGCCTCATAAGGCCGTTGACTCTTAGTCGCAAGTCCATTCTTGGATGGGGATGGTGTACACCAAGAAACTTCGTGCCGTGGATCTTTGAATAATACACATACAGTGGGCGAAGTGCAGATATTGATAGAAGATGCTGAAAAATACCCGGTGGTACTGAAACCCAGGGTCAGTACAGGATATTTTCCCAGGGCCCCCTATCTGAAAATATCTGAAAACACCAATCCATTAATCCCAAGCTGCCGGAGGGTGAGTCCCTTCTCCTCGGGCTCTCCCTCCAGTGAGAAGCTCTCTCGACTCGCCACACGCTCGCCCGGTTCCGCGAGCCGGTCGCCATGGCCGGGCGTGGGGAGCATATGTTTGAGGCCGGGGCGGCGGAAGACCGCCAGGCATGGACCTACTGTAAGTGGAACATGCCTGGCGGTCCAGGCCAGATGTTGAGAGATCGTTGAGCCGAGAAAAAAAGGACCAGGTTCGATGATTCTATGGACATTGACTTAACTGTCCAAGTTCCACTTCGAACCATTCATAGCACATCTGTCCACCGTCGGCCATTGCGTGGGGTTTCTTGGATTCAGAAACCCACACCTGGACGGTTTTGGGAGTTTTGGGTGGGCTTTTCCTTTGCAGGTGTGTATTGCTTGTTGGGTGGATGTTGCGCCAGACTTATTGAAGCCACAGCCAACTGTCCGGGTGCGGAGCGTGCGGGGCGGCATGCTACATATGGTCAAGTTGATGGCTGGTGAAGACAGCTGGGGCGGGGAGATTGAACAAATTCCGTATGGAATAGAAAACAATGTCCATCTTACGAATGTGATGGTATTCGTCAGGGGCAGGGGGAATTGACTTGATATGACTTTACACTTGGGGAAGAGATCCGTTTCTGTCTTGAGAAGTGTGGGAGGCCAGCCGAGATACTTTCGCACCATCTGGTGGTCCCGGATGGTTCAGGCCACCCACCCTCTTGGGCCCTCCTCGAACAAGTATCCATTCGCACAAGGGGCCAGTCTGGTGGCTGGGTTGGCCAGTGTCCCTCTGGGATGGTCGGGTCACTGATTCAACAACTCCAAGCATTCCCTTCCCAGTGTCCTACATTGACCCCCCAAACCATCAAAGGTGCCAGTTCCGATGGTCTGGGATTGACTCGGTTTGGCTGCCCCCCCCTGAGACTGCCCCGCTTGTCGCTGACCTCTGAGACTGCCCCGCTTTGGCAGCAGCCCATGGCCTGGCGGGCCGCAAGGAAGCGGCAAGTGGTGCACAGGGCTCAACTGACTCGAAACGAGTTGACCCGTTTCATGTCTTGACCGGACCTCTTATGAGACCGTCACTACCCAGGAGCTTGGGTCGTAGAGAGCTAATCACAAACTCCACTTAGCCCGACTCAACATACTCAAACATCATAATGCTTCATAAATGTCCAATTGATTTCATTTTGGTGCTATGTCTGCTATGCTGCACAACCGATCCCTAGAGTAGATCCGAATCATTAGGTTCTTATCGATTCCTATCGATGCTTCTTTCACCTTGGCCTTGACTGGTGTTTTCACTAACGCTTGTGACATTGATGCACCTGCAGTGCATGCAGGGGTGAACTCCAACTCATCCGGGATCACAATTTTACAAACGATATTGGCTCCAACACCTGAGCCCCACACGGTCGCGCTCAGCAGTCAGGGAGCTGCACGCATGGCGGGAGCAGTCAGCAGCTACGCGGCTTGGGGCTTTGTGCGAGGTTGGATTGGTCAGTGCAGAACCGGCAGAACTGGCAAAGTCATACCGACGATTAAGTTTAGTTCAAAAAAACTAAAACCAATTTGCCTCCAAATTGTTCAACATGTGTTAACTGTTAACCCACCCCAGGGTCCAGTATTTTTGGGGGTTCCACGCTGCTCCGACACCAACCACCTTGTGAGAAGCTGGCCTCCCCTGCGCTAAAGCCACTAGGAGTCACATATGACATGTATGATGGGCAGAACGCTGCATTACCCAGGAATGGTCAAGAATCAAAGTATGTTGATCTAAATCATTGGCGGTCCGGTAGGGGGTGCAAGCTGGATCTCATCGTTCGGATAGTTCAACAGTTCTTAGATGTTCGAACAGTGTGGATTACATGGTTCCATAGCTCTGAGCGGTTCATGGTTTCAATGAATTCGATGATCTGTGAGAATGCACAGAAGACAACCATCTGATCATTGTGTTGCGATCACAGCGTCGCCCAAGCAAAATTGCAACCTTCTTCGACCCTCTTATACAGTGATCTTCGTTGCAAAGTCAGAAGCTGTTGCAAACAGCCAGGCTTGAGCCGACAGCGTTTGAGATCGTTTGAGGCGAGAGGCAACTCGGCGACTGCATGTCACTCTGACTCTGGAAGACTGGTCTTCTACTTGACAGTCGGAGAAAAGCAAGTGGATCTTTCTGCTCCAAAGTTGATCTACGGATTTGGTTGTGCAATGTATACGGGTGTATGTGCACATGCGTGTTGCATGTTTAAATAGCTTCCACTCCTTCTCCCTCTTAGCACCACCTTCAACCTGCTGCGGTTGCTTCCTACGGCCGCCTTTTCGCAGATCGCAGCCATCTAAGCCTTTGCCCGTTCGTATTCCACAGCTGAAACGTCATTCTTCTCCTGGGGACATTGGGTGGGTCGTCACCAAATGGGTAAGCGCATGCAGGCAGGCGCATGCAGGCGCAAGGTTCTCTGGAAAGCTCCAAGTCAGACTGGCTTGTGGAGAGGGGCAAAAGTTCATGGAAACCAAACAAGCGAGAACAGGTTTCGACCTTGTTTCAGTCTGTGGCTTGTTTTGGTCTGTGCTACACTCCCTGAAATAGTCATGGAAGTGGATGGCATGCCCCCTTTGCATAACAATTTTCCTCTACAAACAGGTGGTGGTCGCTCCACTTCCAAGGTTATTTCAGGGAGCGCAGCGTAGTTGAACCGACTGGAACCGCCATTCATCGTCATGTTGCTCTCCGCTATTTGGTGGCTGGTCCAAGCAAAGGTGGCGCCCTGCCACAAACCCAAAAAATGCAAAGGGACGAGACTTCAAGGACATATCTCCTACCAGTTCCAAACCAATGCCTGTTGGAGGATGGGGGTGCCCATTATCTACTCACTGCATGGGGGACTAAAAAAAGACCCTTTGTGCCTCCTGGTGTACGATTGAGCCATTTTGGGCACCAACACCCCCCTTCGAAACCACTTCCAACATCCTCCAACGCACCTGTCAGCCTGTCTTTCTCGCCTCTTTCTTCGGACCGTCGCGTCGCGAGACCTTGATGCCGTCCAACGCCCCACGTGTTTCGTTCCATGGAACTGCCGCCAAGGGACGTTCACTTGGATCTCCTCGCCGGGCTCCGGCTTGAGGACGCCCCACTTGTTCACCTCCAAACCTGGCTTGCGGGATTCGTGATTCGTCCAAACCGACCTGGCAGGTGAGTCAAGAGAAGGGGGAGAGTGGTTGACACCTGAAAAATGAAGATAGAAGAGACATGAATTAGACTACCTGGACCTAGGACCTAGGAGGTCGACCTTCCAGATTTTGTTGTGAGAGGTGCTCTTTTCTGCGCCACTGATCAGAGACGAATCCAGCAGGTCAGAGGCTCCCGCAGTAGGAGGGCCTCCGTTTTCGGTTCAGGATCTTGGTGCAGCGCCCAGGATAGAAACACCCACCCAGGATAGAAAAAGGTCCCCATCAGTCAGCAAGAACCAGCGGTTCCGTGCGATTTCTTGAGGTTGAATCGAAGGAGACCAGTTGAAGAAAACCCAAGAACCACAACCTTTTTTCATGTTTTGCCAAGTTCAGCTAGGAAGCCAAGACTGCCTCAACTTGTTGGGTATGTGCTTGAACCGATCAGAAGCCTAAGTAGCCTTGAAAGTAATCGGTGACATCAAAGTGATATCCCATTTTACCACTCCAGCCCCGGCGCATGGTAACGTGGAGGGGGCCACGCATGGTGCCCTTGTGCATCACCTGAGGCCAACACCGCGAGTGCTTATATATAGGCTTAGCGGCTTAGCTGGCTGGTGGGATGGTGCTAAAAGAGCATGATGGTGGATGGTGATGGTGGATGTGCTGATGAGCACCCACCCAAACATCTCTCCCAGGTCTTCTAGCCTTCTAGTTCTTCAATGTTCTTCACCTACATGACATCTGCTCCATCCACACGTGATGTCATGATCTCACCAGCTTGCTCCTCCTCCTTCACAGCATCCCGCCATCTCCCGCACACCTGCTCCACCAATCACATCCCATCACCCATCAAATCCCAGTGACGATCAGCGCGTTTTGGACGCGAAGAATGGCTCCAGGCTTACAGAGCTCCACCTGTGGCCACACGACACAAGGCCAGTGGCGGAATGGCATGCGCCATAACCAGGATTGACCCGGAACACCTGGCACGTTGGGCACCGGAACTCGGTATTGGTGTTATTATTTTCGCTGAGCACAATTATGGTTGAATGGCTCATCTTCAGACTCATAGCCGCGCCGTGGCCAGTCTCGCGCTTTGTTGCTTGGGGCCTCCAAATCGAGGCCAAAGCCTCTCCAGTTGAGAGAGGGTAACCATGGGGGTTCCTCGCCGTGGCGAACCCATGGCCACGTTCGAAGGACTCTCCCACTCCGAGCTACACGGCCACGGCCACCGAGCCTCACCGGGGCTGGAGTGTCCAAACGGATCATCCGGGGCTGGGAATGAATGAGACGCATTCAGCATGAGGCAGGACAAGGATGTACATGGATGTACCCACACACCACCACTTGCAGACGCAAGAAGAAGAGCACCCCTCAAAAGCCCTTTCTTCCACATCATAATATCACATAATTAGGTAGGGGTGCTCGACAAAACCGTTCTGAACCAGCGTTGTCCGGGCCAATTGGAATCAGAACCCCCCATTCAGCACGAATCCTTCGGCCCCATCCGTCCAAGCTGCCCCATCCGTCCAATCACTTCTCGCCTCTCACGACGGACCGAGGCTCCCTGCCATCTCCGGCCGCGCGCGGAGGGTCACGCAGCCCGTGTCATCACCCAGCACCACCTGAACGGCTGACCGTGCGACGGTGGCGGTGGAAGCTGCGGCAGTGGCGTTCCATCAACTGCAGGTGGATGTTCGTGGAATGCTCCAATGTGACCTTGGAAACCAAGTGGATCAAGTGGTAAGTAGATCAAGCACGAACGGTTCATGTGGATGCTCACAAATTTGAAGAAACATCGACGTAGACGGTTCGGTTTGACGATGGGTGGCTTGGAAAACGCCCGCACCTGACGCCATTGAACGAAAAGCTATAGACTTTGTTTTGACCTTAAGGGGTTCCGGCTACTTCAGATCTCATCTTCAGATCTCATTTACCAAGGTGTTGTAGGTCCAACTCTGCTAACTGCATTGCCCTTGAAGCGCATTCCTTCCAGAATCTTCCAACATGGAAAGCCCACCCGGTCACCTCGTGCCGGTCTCCACGCGGATATTTCGCCGCATGCCTGGCCTCGAAGAGTTTGGAGTCTACCTCAGGAACAATGCTGTTTCTGTGCCATGCAAGACTGATCCGTAGTTTGATGGGTGGGGCGGTGGGGCGCAGTCGCGAACTCTTCTCAAAACCCGCGTTTCCCGCGAGTGGTGAACGGGCCACTCGGGCCGCTAGTTGTGAACGGGGCGCTAGGGCCGAATCACACCAACTGATGCGTCGAGTCTTGCAGCGCTTGTGGCAAATTTAATTCAGGCAAGACCCCTAAAATCCCAAGCTCGCCCCGGAAACCACCTCATCTAAGTGTGTCTTTCTCACTGGATCTCACTAGGAAGTGGCCAGGGAACTCAAACTTTATGGGGCTTCTTGACCCCCTCTTTGGAAGGAATAGCTCCTTAGCTCTCTCCCAACGACCAGCAATGGTGCGGATGGTGCCTCCGTCACTTTCACCACTTTCACCAGCAGGTTCACACCTTCATGCAAGGGAACATGGCACACCAGCCTGGCTGTGGTTTCAGGGGTGAGAACTGGCACGTATGGGCCCCCAAGGTCGTTTGTTTATATGAATCCCTAGACTCCCTGAAACAAACATGGAAGTGGACAATCCTTGTTGGCAGTGGAAAATAGTGTTCCAGGAGGCCATTGTCCACTTCCATGCTTGTTGGAGGGAGGGTATATAAATGACATCTTTAGGTGCCAGTGCCATTTCTCACCTCTGAAACCACTCAAAAACACGAGGCTCAGCAAAGTAGCATGGACTACACTCTGTCGAACACGTCACAACCGCTGTGATTCTCCTTTATCTTCCGCCTCTGGCATCGGGCTTGAGCGACTTCACCTATCGTGAGAGTGAGGGGCGCAGTGCGGCGTGCACCATGCGGTAACATGAGAGTGGCACGAGTGGCCTTCTCTCGCGCTCTTCCGAGGTGGAAGCTACCCTCCCTGGAACTAACATGGAAGCGGAAAACCACCTGTTGTCCTCTGTACACTTGCGAGGTCCTCCCCACAACAAAACCTCCCAAAAACATCGTAGGGACTTAGTGGGCCCTTCCACCACGAGTGGCACCAGGGCCTTCATAAAAAAAACCATTTAGACCCAGTCGAACCCAGTATAGAACCCATTTAAGGCCATCCGTCTCCAACAAAAGGCTTCTTCATCCACCGTCTCCGTTTCGGATGGTCAACCGATGGTCTCCGATCGGCCCCCGCCGGACCGAACCACGGTCCGGTGGTCCCGGAAAAAGCCAGGCCAAACAAAAGACATGGTCATCAGCTAACCATCCATGTATGTTCCACAACCTGTGCCTACATTTGGGTGACTATCTCAAAGGTATGGTTTTTAGTGGTAGTGTAACATGGGTCATCCATGTTGCTCAATCTTCCCGGTCCCGATGGTCGATCTGTCCACGGATCTGTCCACGGCAGCTCTCAGCGGCCTTCATCCATTTGGGCTTCCGCAACTTCCGCCCTGGGCAGGACAGACTGTTGAACCCTTTTTTTCGACTCCATGGGGCAGGTAACAGTCATCTACAAGGCTACGAGGTTCCGGGTGTTCAACCTAGCTTGATGTGTCACTTTGAGGTGACAAAGGGGGCCCTCTTACAGGGTCCCTTAGGTCACTGGATGGGGAAAAAAACAGAGGTGACTTTGAAGAAGCTGGCTGTTGTGCTTGGAATTTAAGGTTTTGGTCAGATCGGCCATATTTGGTTGCTTCAGAAGGTGTGACTGTAGGTAGATGCCAGGGGCTCTGCTTCAGGGGGGTCAATGGTGAGAAAAGACTTCGGGACTTAAAACATGTCCTGCTGCAATGCTTCTGGAAGTGCTTACTGAGCCGCTCATTGTGGGGGAATCTGTCAATTTAAGAGCGATGGCCTCCAACCTAAGAGCGATGGCCTCCAACCTAGCAACTTTATAAAAGTAGCACCCCTAGACCACCCACCTGAAACACACCCGCCTCATTTAGGGGCTCCCGTTTAAGAAAGGGAGTTGAGCTCGGACGGGAGCCGCCGTACACACCAGGGACGTACAAACAGTTTTCCTTTATCTTCTGTTTTACCTACACCAACATGTAAAATCATCCAAAAACTCTTTGGGCAACTCATCCATAAACAAACACCACGGTCCATCACAACACCGGCTCTGTGCCGTCTACTGTTTCTTCAGCGCGGTCTGGCAGCTTGGCGTTCGGGACGTCTTTGGGGCACCGAAAGCCCCGGCGTCGCCTCCATCTGGATACCCCACGTTGGCAGGGGCAGTGGGCCTCGGTCGCGTGGGCATAGCACCGGGAGGATCTCCGCAATTCCAGGTGGAAGAAGGATCAACATAGTGAGAACCTCAAAAGAGGATGTTTCAACATGCAGCCAACCCGGGCAAGCACATATGCCCGATCGATTGCCCTACTGCCACCCTACTGTGTCTGTTTTTCCTGATGGCACCAACTCTTCCAACAAACCCAGAACACGACTAATGGGACTGCCATATATGCCGCCCCGACCCCAGGTCAACCACCCCTGGCCGTTTCTCGGCAGTCCGGACTGGCAGTCCCGGTCGTGTCTGGCTGGAGACATGCTTCAGTCCGGCTCAGAAGGTGGTGGAAAGTGACCCGAGCCTCGCCTCGGGCCACTTTAAGGGGTTCCTGCGCCTGTCAGGTGAAGCCTACGGTGGCTTGCGGGGGGTGTATTGAGCTGGCCCTGGCGCCCGCGAAAATCGCGCCGCGTGCCAAGTGAGGTAGAAAAGCCTGGAAGTGGATGGCATAACCATGCATGGCCCTGGTTTTAGACCCTGAAATGCAAATACCAACCATGCCCAAGAGAGGTTAAGTGACCTTATAGGACCCTAGTACATCTAACTTATGGGGTATACCCCATAGGGTCCTTCAACCTCTGTTGGCATGATTGTGAACTCCACTTCGATTGCCACTTCTGTTGGCTAAGTCAGACTTGCCGCGAGCATCGTTTCCGCACCGTTTCCACTCGGAACCGGGTGCTCCGGGCTGGACGCTCGGGACCTGCAGGTCTCCGCGTGTCTACGGTGGCGAAGATCTGGACGAGGGCTTCTACCAGGAGTCACAAAGGGGTGTCTATTGGAGGATAGGGGTGCCCATGATCCACTCACTTGGGGACTAAAAACCACTCCTTTGTGACTCCTGGTGTGATGATGTCGTTGGATTGGGCTTCTAGATTTCTGGACCTTCTTTCGGGGTGGGGGCTGGCTGGAGGTCCAGTGGTGGGCTGGGGCGAAACCAGCCAGGTGACCCCGACATGAAGGTGCTGGTATGTTTTGGTTGTTCAATGATCTTAGAAACTCTGATCGAACAGTTTTATCAGCATCTATAGGTCTTCATCCTGTAAATGTTGCCTTTCAACAGCTACATCTCCCACTTGACGTACAGTAATTTCTTGAATAGCGAGCTAGCAAACATACACTTGAAAACCCACTTTCTGACACGAGTCTCTCAGCCAGGATGGACCATTCACCCAGGTCAGGGGCTGGGCTGCCCACCTCCTGGTTGTAGACCGTCTGCCGGGCCGCCACGGCACCTCCATCCACACGCGACGCAGAATGGTGAGGAAGCCTCTGCAGCTTAGTGCCAGTTGCTATGCGCAAGCGAAAAACTTATAATCTACGTCCTGGCGTCATGGTGTGATAGCCTTCATCGCCTTGATTCAAGTCAATCCATTCTTTGTCCGGAACCCTTGTCCAAGCGCTTTTGCCCAAGGACTTGGATGTTCGCATTTGTCCATACCAAAAGAAGCCTCACTGACCCCTCGGGAGAAGAGGTGGGAAGCCGGAAATCATATGGGCACCCACATCCATGTGCGGGTAAGACCAAGCTGTTCTTCCAGACTCTGCCGAACCCCAGCTGCTCTGCTTCTCCTCCACCACGCCCAACTCCGCGGCTGGTCACCCCAGGTCCCGACACGACACCTGGCACCAGTGGAGGCAGCTCCGGACGTGTCTGAGGGATCTGGGTCATGGACTGGCCGCTGCTGTCATCGCCTCAGTCGGACGGCGCGCGGTGCCGCGGGGTCTTCGCATGCTGAAGCTGTGAACGGCACCGGGGGGTCTTCTCTTCACCACGTTCTTTTTTAAAGTGGCGGCCTAGTCCAAGTTGCAGATTTGGAAGCATTGTGGACCAAGCCCGGTTATAAGATGATGATTTTGTCAATATTAATTAGTCTAGTCAATTGTAGAGAAACTGCCGAACTGCAGCGGGAACCAGTAATAATCAACAATTAGATAACACAACTGCTTCGATGGACCCCTTTTGTTGCCCATGCCGATGCCTCACACCAATTCCTCTCGCTGCACCCACCCAACACGCGGAAGGACGTCCCGATGTGGGCGGCTGCAAAAGCCTTCACTCCAAAGGCCGCGATCGGGTGCCCACACTTTTCAACGGCGCGGCGCACAGCAGCTCATGACCTGGCGACCGCTGGGGCCATGTGCCATGCTGGGCCCAGGGCGCCAGGCCCAAGGGAATTCCGTAGCCACCTAAAAAATCCACCGGTTCCTGGCAAAACCATATGCGATAAGTATATAACTTGATTATACCAAATCCATAAATGACAAGACAGACTAAAAGCAACACTGAGATCACTGAGTACAATGCCAGCAAGCTAAACGCCCAGTTCAAAAGTCTTCGAAGTTCTGCCAGCCCCCGGTGGTGTTGCCATGTCCCTGCTGAGGAGTGCCCACTCAGTGCGCGGCTGAGAGCTGGAGCTGGACATTGCCAGCCTGGCCGATGGGAGGATCCCTTCAGTATCTGGAGGATTCTTCAAGCAACCGTGGCTGATCGGGGGTGTCTAGTGAACGTCATTCTTAGGACATGGAATCATGGAATCTATAGAAATCCCTTTTTACAGGATTCTTCAAGCAAACCTCGTGGAACGGGGGTGAGGTTCAAACTTTGGTAGGGATTTGAAGGTCGGCGGAGGAGGTTTATGAATGGATGGTGGCCACTATCGGCTAGACCAAACCAACAATTCTGATTCAAAAACCCTCCCGGAAAATGTCATGGACGTGGAGCCCACCACCTGTTTGTACTGTAGAGGAACATCCTCATCCAAGGGGCCATTGTCCACTTCAATGATGATTCCAGGGAGTGTGCCCGTTCTCTTGTCACGTGTCACGCCACAGGCCGTGCCGTCACCCGTTCACCTCCCAAAATTGTTGGCCTTACATGTCCACAAAGGACACACACAAACCTACACAAGTACCTCTGGCCCAAAACACGATTGGTCACCACGAGTCTCTCCGTGTCCACTTCGACTTTGTCTCATTCCAGGAATCTCCAGCAACCTGAAAGACCCTTGTCATTTGTTAGACCAACACCTGTCAGATGATTGACTTTTGGCTCCAACATTTATCTTGAAGACTCACGCGTCTTACGGGCCCAGCGGGCCCCCAATGGCCCCACCTGCCCTTGGATTTGCTTGAGGAACCTGGAGAAAAATGAGGACATCTTCCCCAGAAGGGGATTTAACATAATTAACCTTATAGGGAATATAAAAATCACCTTAAGATACCTTAAGCCAGTCCTTAAGCCTTAAGCAAAAGCCAGCTGCCTCACCTGCCGCCCCCATCCTCCTCTCCTCCCACCTTGGTCGCCCTCTCCGAGCCGCAGCTCCAACTCGCGGCACTCGCCCAGCGGCAGCACTCGCCTCAGGGTCCGCCGGCTGGGCGAGCTGGGGCGATGATCGCAAGGGCATCGCGACTCGAACGGAGCGATCGGACGCTACGGCGCTACGGCCCCCTGGCCGTACTACTAGGAACAAGCTACTAGGAGCTGGGACGAACCGAAGAACTACATTCACCCGGCGGTTCTCTTCCAGTGGGCTCGGCCCAAATGGCTGACCATATGGCTGACCATCGATGGTTCTCGGCTTCTAAATGGGAGGATTCAGGGCGCCACCAAGGTCAAGAAGCTGGATTTCGGGGAGCGCGAAAAACACTCCGGAACTAGATGTTCGTTTGTGATCTTTTCCTGGAGGCCTGACTGGGGGGACGTACTTATGGGATATGATATAGGGTTCTTCACGCTCCGCCCTCAGAATCAGATCCCCTGAATTTTGGGACAGCAATGAGACAAAGCATCCATCCCATCATCCCGTGGATTCCACCAGGCCTGCACCTCCAAATGCCACCCACACGCCTGACACCTCGAACTCGCCGAACTGGGCCATCCGAACCAATTGGCTCCATCCGACCGTCCCGTGAAGTCATAGATGGCGTTCCAGAAGTTCTTCCCTCGACGGGAACGCCGACCGAGACAGACCGAGACCGTCTCCTACCGGGGCCAGTTCTGGTCGACCAGACCGGACCGGATGGACCGAAGCAGGGCTTTTGGGGAAAGGGAAGGTCTCCTTCTTGGCACTACAGCCGACAGCCTTCAAAGCAAAAGTCCAAAGATCCATCAAATTGCAAGCACTTGCCGCCAAGACCCCTTGCCTTCTAGGCCTCCTCAATCAATGCATGTCAATTCCAGAATGAAACAAACATACCACCCCACCTTCTCAACCTGTCTGCCTACCTATATCTATAGTCTCAAGCATGAAGGCCCACCAGCGCCCCTCCGGTCTTTCTTCTCCCAGCGTTTCGCAGAGGAGAAAGCCTGTGAAACTCGACCGCCACTTTGGGCGCTTCTTTGGGCGTTCTCTTTGGCGCCTTTCTCGGTGGATTTGAAGCTTCAGGTGTTGAATCCTGTGGGGCAGGCTGATGTCAGTCTGATGTCTCCATTCACATCCAAACCAGTTTCAACAAACTTGGAACACGTTTCATGACTCAAAATCAGTGGCTTTTTTCAAAAGCAAGCTGCTCGAAACCACTGCTCAGGCTTCTCTTCTCTCAGAATCCACCGTCAAAGTAGCCACGGCTCAGGCTCGATATTGGACAAGCGCCAGGGCGAGGGCTGTGACTCTCTGCGCCTCGTGAGGCCGTACGTCACAGATGGAGCAAACAGATGGAACCGACCACGTGATGCTGAGCCCAAAGTGATGCTGAGCTGAATGAAGCGTGGCATCGTAAGTTGCCAAAAAAGGCTAGATTAGGAGAGACCATCTATTAAAAATAAAAAGTAAAAATAAAAATAAAAAACATAGGGCACACAAATCTAGAAAACACAAAACAAACAGCCAAGCAAGAAGAAAAAAAACAAAGAAAGGCAAGGATGCCACCATAAGGATCAAAAGCACAGAACCAAACATCTGAAGAGGTATGGCGAACTTAACAAGCGACAGTGTTTGAGGGAGGATGGTGAGGTTGTGGAGGGGTCGAGCTAGGGTTGGAGGTGGGTCCGAAATGTGGTCAGGGCATGGAAAAGGGCGGGGGTCGAGCGGCCTAGTTGTCCTATTTCTGGCGCGAGTTCTCTTTCCGATTTCAAATTCACTTGCTAAAGCAAGGACAACTCCAGCTAGCTGATGCTAGCTTTCGTGATTATTCATATCATTTCCTACCTGTGTTTCCGATGTTTCCCTATTAGGCTACTGGCTAGGCCAACGGCTTGTCCCAGTGCGTCCCAGTGCGGCCCTCATGGTGGTCTTGGTCTTTGCGAGTTAACGCTGTGCAGACCAGGTCCAGACGTACAGTCTACAGTCCTGGACCCCGGGTCGAACCCCCCCACCGAACTGCGGATCCATTTCCTGAGCTCTTTGTTACATGGTTGGGTTTCCTGAGCTTTGTCCTTTTTTAGCTGCTTCAAGCTCCATGTTTCATCATGTTCATCCATGTTGTCTTGTTCCTTGTTTTTCAATGATGGTTCCTTTGTCGTTCCATTGGTTTCCTAGGTTTGTTCCTATGTATATGATATGTTCCTATTTTGTATGCTATGTATTTTCTACGTGTTTCTTCCTAATATGTCTTATTTGGATCACACCCAGTGGAAGTTGAACTTCCTCAACATAAGCCTAAAGAAATTCTTCCATGTTCCCAACAATCCTGTTCCACTTCCATGTTAGCAAGTCAGAGACCAGAGAAAAAATAAAAGAACTCGTGGTTGACCTGGTGACCCCAGCCCTCCGTTGACCAGTTGACCTGGTATGACCTGTTGTAGGTGCCAAATCCTTAGTTAGTGTAGACTCTTGAGGACCATAAACCCCCCTTTGAAGAGGATGTTCAATTCAAGTGAGGGGGTGTATTAATCCAAAGTCTACATTATACAACATACTATACCACAATGGTTCTTCGGGATATTTCGGGATCTTCGAACCTCCAATATATGGCTGCGCTGCCGCACACTGGCCGGATGCCGCGGATGCTGCCCGTTCGCACGCCCGCCTCGGCCCCACCAACTGCGGCACATACCTGGGCCGCACGGCGCCGCACGGCGCCGCATGGGCGAGGGCGACCGTAGCCCGATCCGAATCACGGGTGGAGCCGACCGTGGTGTGGTGCGTTGGTGTCTTATTATAAAGATCACCCAGAAAAGAACATCGGGATGTTTTTGTTTCGGGCCTCTGTTCAGAGTTATATAGTTATATGTGTACCCTGTATTTGAGTGGGCTTCCTATGGATCTTTGCCCGTACTTCTGAGTACTCATCTCACTGTGCTTAGCCTTTTGATTTTGCTGTTCTTTGAAATTTCGATAAAAAATTGGAATCTTGAAGCAATGCACCCGTTCTTGCAACTTCCTAAGTATAACGTGTCCAACAGGTCAAAGTGAGAGTTCCCAATTCCCATGCCTCCAAATGGAGACTTGGCCGGCCTTGCGTCTGCCAAAGCTGGTGGACTTCCGTCCGTGCCAGGAACCCATCCCAAAGTGCATTAAAGAAAGGGTGAACAATGCAGATGCTGTTGAATAAGCAAAATTGTCCCCTATCATGTTTAGAGAAGTCGGATATTCTGAGAACTCTCAATAAGTGGAGCCATAGTGGTGGAAACTAGTGCTTCAAGGCTTCCGCGATCCACATTAGCGGCTCCTGGGACCCTGAAACCACCGGGGGGGTCACTGCTCCCCAACGCCCGAACCGCGGCTCCGTCGTCCCAGTCGGGTGGCGTTCGCATCAGCAGCGCATTCAAGTCGGCCTCCAACAAGGAACTCCCCACCAGAACATCTCAGAACCCCCCCAGAGGGGCCTGTTGGGATCCATGCCAGCGGTTGAGTAACGAGTGTCTTGGGCTTGGTCTCACTTCAGGTCGAAAAGCGGATTCTGATGGCGCCCCTCGAAGAAAAACCTAGCTGGACACCTGGGTGAACCCAGACCTGAGTCCAAATGTCTGTGCTTAACTCACCCAGACTTTGGTTGGAGTGATTCTTGTGAGAAGTGGAAAATTGTTCGTCCTGGCTTTGCCCCAACAATTCCAAGCGCCAAGGACTTGCTTCACAAGGATTTTAGACTACAACAACAGGTCACCCCATCCTTTCAACCGTATATAAAATTATACAAATAGCAGATGGTCTTGGAAGGCTACAATATTCTACAATATATTATATAGGATTTTCTTTGGATGACTATGAGCCTGAGCCTGAGGATCATGATGGGCCTCCATCATACCTGTCGGTAGGACCTTTGAAGGACGCCGCCACACACGAAGAAAAACCCGGCGAGCAAGTGGTGAAGGGTTCCTCCCTGTAGCTGTAGCTCTGAACGGCTCCCCGTTTCAGGAAAGGTCCTTGGAATCAGCACTTCTTTGGGTTTGGAGTGGGGAATTGGGCGACTCCAATGGAGATCGACTGCGAAATCCCCCGGCCTATGGAGCGGTCCCGTACTTGATGTCCTTTCCGGAGGTGTCCCAAAATGCCCCAGAAACGCACCCCAATCGCTGGCCTCCTGCTTTGCCCTTCGTGGTCCCTTCACTTTGGGACTCTTGGTGGTCCTGTGCTGGCCGGGGCTCCCACGCGGCTAAGTAGCGCTGGAAACGACTGTCAAGGTGCCCAGAACAGCCAATCACTCAGATATCTCAAGATCAGCCCCTTTGTGACTCCCAGCTGTCCTTTTTATACATTTTGGGATATGTATGTATATGTGGGGATGGGGTATGTTCGTGACGTGCTGGGTGTGGCCAGAACGGCGCACTTGAAGAACGCCTGGCAAGCGGCTTAGCGACCGAACAGACCGTCGCGACCTTCCGACCGAACCGAACCTGGAGTCCAATCCAGTGAGCAAACCATATGGAGGCCGTGATTTCGGACCAAACCAACCAGGGGATCAAGGTGGGTCACGAACAGAAGAACAAGGTACAGTGGGCCATCAGAGGTGAGAAATGGCACCATTTTCACCTAAAAATGTCTTGGGCAAATGGGTGTCCACATTCACCACCGACCTTGGGGATTGTGCCATCTACACTGAAACCAGTACCCCAGACACTCCATGGGATTGCCATATATGCCGATCAGTTGGGGTGGTTTGGGGGGTCAATGGGGCGGCAGTCCGTCCTGGCAGTCCCATTAGTCGTGTCTGTGTCATGACTCCTAGTAGCGTCCGATCGCTCCGTTCGTAGCCATGCCAGGAGCCCCTAGTATAATACCCAGATGCTCCATGTATGGAATATATGCCTACATTGGGGTGGTTTGGGGGGTCAATGTAGGCATATATGGCATACATGGAGCGTCTGGGGTAGCTTAATGGTTCCTAGTACAAGTTTGATCAAGTTCTGAGTGGTGAAAGTCCTCACAACTCCTCCAGCGAGTCCGTCCCACCGCCTTTAAGGTTCGGCACATGCCTTGTTTTGTGCCGCTTCCAATTCGACCGTCGACGAGGTCGACGGTAATTGGGAGATCCCGGTCTTACAGGGACCCCTGTGACTGTCAGCGTGTCAAAGCATGTGATGTGCGAGTTCATCATGAAGTCATCCATATGGTCAGGGGTTCCAAGTTGGGATGCTTCTCGTTGCACATCCATGTTCTTTGCACCTTTCTCCCGCCCCCCACCCCGACTCGTGCATCCTGATCGACCGGGCGCCGTCCCCGCCCGACCATCTTCCGCCTTCGAGTGGAGCTCACTGTCGGCTTCGTATAGCCTCGCGAGCGACGCAGAGCGACGCGTAGCGACGCGCGACGGGGCAAACTCTCCGGACTCCTGGTTGAGGAGTCATAACCCAGACACTCCATGTATGGCATATTTATACATACATTGACACCTAAAACCACCTCAACGTAGGTAAATATGGCATGCATGGAGTGTCTGGGTAACGACCCCCATGCTTGAAACATGCAAGAAAATCAGGCTTGCGTTCAACAACCCCAGATTTCGGCCATCCTAATCCTCCGGAAACATCCTCCCAAACATCCATTGCCGCAAGTCGAACCCAAAAAACGATCCAGGGCACCCCCAAGGTTCGCCTCCCTTCACGCTCGCTCACGTCCGACCGCCGCCGCACCCGGGAGCCGCCGCGGAGCCGCGCGGCCTTGCGTCACGCGGAGCTGCCGCGCCGCCCGGAGCGCGCTGCCCGTGGAGGGCGCCGCGTCGTCGCTGGGGGGGTCCTGAGGCGGCGTGGTGCTGGTGGGTGGAGGTGGAGGTGGAGGTGGAGGTGGGTATGATTTCTCATTTTTCAGGGGTGGGTGGCCGGTGCTACATGCCTAGGTGCTGACAACACAACAGCACTGTAAGCTGATCTTTCACCGAACACTGGCCCTTTGCTGTCTAAAATGGCTCTCTCATCCGTTCTTCAAGCGATACTGTACGTCATGAAGTAAGTGTCCCCAAAATCGCCCAAAAGGTCCCTTTCACAACTGAACTTGGACTATTTTGGAGCTCTGAAGGCTGAAAAACCCTCCTCACTCTGATGCTTAAGTATGCCAGGTGGCTTCGTCTTCTTCTTCAGCACGCCTGGCGCGGGCTGTTCGAGACCGGGACTCAGTCAAAGCATATTCCAGATGCTCCATGTATGGAATATATGCCGATCAGTTGGGGTGGTTTGGGGGGTCAATGTAGGCATATGGCAGTCCCATGGAGCGTCTGGGTATGGGTGGTTGAGTACGCACTCGACACATCTCGAAACAAAAATAGTAAGACGTCCATCTTTTCTCGCTTCTCAGCTGTTCCTTGCGGTCTGTCATCTTCCGGAGTTTCTGCACCTCACCACGCCTCACCTCAGGAGTTTCTGCACCTGACACTCACGGCCCTCCAGCTGCGGGGCGCAGGGCATCCCATGTGGCAGCCACGGTTGGATGATCGAGCGCTGTCGCACTTGGTGGGGGCCCTTGAGCCCCGTGGCCGGTGTAATGAGGCAATTGCTCCACTCGCTCCACTCTCCCATCACGCAATCCCGCAAGGCCAACTTCGATTCAGTGGCATCCAACGGCAGTGGTTTGGCACCCTTGATGGTTTTGATCATGGGGACGTCGCCTACTTCTTCGAGCTTGGTGCTATTTGAAGCATTCACCATCGACACGTTCTCGATGATGGAATAGTTGAAGGCCTCACTCAGGTCCACTGACGTTTCATCCGAAGCCAAGGAAGACTCTGCAGGTGGTGCTGGATCCTGCACTGCGTGCGCTGCAACGGCACTTTGTGCATTCTGCATCCAAAGCTTTTTCGAAGATTGCAGTAAAGAGACACCCCCCCCAAGGCCCAAAGAGTCTGAGAAAGCTGGAGCCACATCGCAAGAGCTTCCGAAGGCTCCACTGAGCAGAACACCGACCATGAGTTGCACCTGAAGGGAAGACGAAGACGAGGAAAACATGGACAAAGTCATTGACCACAGCGCGTGCGCGGTCGCGCGGGCACGCCGCTCGCGGGAACCGGGAACGCGGCCCGACGGTACGGTGCCGAGCGGGCTTTTTTGAGCCCGAGCTCAGCAGCGGAAGCGTCAAGGCCCAAGGCGTTGGCTGGTCGCCTATGACTCAGGTAAGTCTTAGATAGTCTCAGTGTGATTCAGGATGATTCAGGGATATGACCAGGGTCTGACGCAAGTGGTGTTGGGAGTTGGGGATTCCTTCATCCAAGCGGGTCGCCGTCGGCGCTCGATCCGATCCGTTCTTAAAGAGGACGGCCAGTCTACGGCCCGTTCAGCGCCCAAAGAGGCAGTCTCTTTGAAAGTGTTGGGGCGCAAAAGCAGAATCTCCCCATCCAAAGCTCACCCTCCCCGAAACGGAGCAGTACCAACCATCCACCATCCGCAATGTGCGCTGTCGCGTCGTCGCGTTTTTTTTTTTCCGCGCACGTTGTCGCAGCGTTTTCCGCCTGGCCGACGAGCTGGCCAGGATGGCATCAAAGCTCCGCGCCAGGTGCTGCAGGTGGGTCAACAAGGGCAACGCCGTGGCCTCCGAGGAAACTCAGCATGTTGGCGATTCATGCCAGAATCATGCCTGAAAAAATCATGAGAGGGATGTACAGTAACTGTTTCGTAACTGATTCGTATAGACGAACTAGAGTTACTCAGAAGCAGGCCTTAATCCCTCTCTTGATAACTTCCCCAGTCTCATCAGACTCGCAATATAGAAGTATATTTTTGGCGATGGAAAGTCTATGAAATTCTTCTCGACTCCCATGATAAACCTTCTCGACTCTATGAACTTAGTTGGGTTCTTATGGAAAGTCTATCGCGTTTTATCTCACTTGGCTTCTTTTGGATCACTGATCTTCTCCGGACGCTCCACGCCATCGATCTTCTCCGGCGAATTCGCCGGTTCGTTCCGGAACCGGACCCCGCCGCCTGGTCGGGTCCTTGGAACGCACAACGGACGAGTCCAAACGACTTCCCCATAGAGTGAGTTGCCTCACACTCTATGCCTCACATGGTGAGTTTCTCACAATGTACATGGTGAGTTTCTATGGTGAATATTAGTTGCACGGACTTCACAGTCTGACTTAAAATTACATACAAGAGTTACCCTATCAAATTCGCAGACGATTCACCAGGAGGTTCGTAGTCTCCCGTCAAGCTGTCGGAAACCTCAAGCTACCTTTTTGCGCAACATCGTACGTTTTGTGGAACATGTCCTGCGAACTCTTTTCCTTGATATGCAGAAAGAGGTGCCAGCTCCCTTGTGCACCAAGGATGTCATAAGACTTTGGTCGGAGGAATCGCGAGCAGACCACATTTCGTGGGACAAGATCAGCTGGTGGATTTGCTAAACACATGTACCCACCAAGAAGCGCAACACCAACCTGCAGATAATGTGAACTTGCCTTTCCGAAATGCGCAGGTGTCAACCCTTCGGAAGAGATCACTGAAGAACATACTTTTGAAGAACCACAGATGAATTCTTTCCTTACGTTCAGTGTCTGTCTTGATTCTTGATCTCGCACCCTACCGTCCAGCACCCCCACCAGTGGAAGGGCAGGAGGGTGCCCAGTCACGTCCACGGCCCATGGGCCCATGGGATCCATGGGACGAAACACCCGGTCAACTCCATGGGACGAAAGACCGGTGCCAATGCCATTCAAGAAAAATGCCCAACAGCTTGATGTTTCCCTGCTCATGGCATGTTTCTTACGCATGCTTGTGGCAGGATATGAGGCGTACAATCCTATTCAACAAGACTAGCTCATGCATCTCCTATTGTCATGCACGTTCGCCCCACAACATTGACGAACTCTGGCAATCCTATAGTTAGAATGCAATCCTAACACGTCATAATAAAGCTGCAAAGCTGCAAAAAACAACCAATCGACCAAAAAAAGGACCCCCAAAAAAAAACGCATGTCGGGGTAAATGTGTTTCTGTCCAAAGCCCTCCGAGAAAAGACGAGTGCTACGAGAAAATGCGCCCCGTAGGCATTGCGCACCCAAAACGGCGGAAAGCGGCTGACCGACTGATCACCTTCCGCCCAGATTCGATCCTCGAAATGGTAATCCCTTCGACCCTGACCAACTGATCACGGAGGATGTGAGGATGTGCCCCAGGGCTGCAAGTATAGCGAGCCTCTCCCTTCTAAGAAGGTGGGACTGAGGTGGTGGAGGTGTGACTGGAGCCCTCGGGGTGGGCATACTGTATCCTAGAGACTTCCTGGGACTGCCACATTTGCCGATCAGTTGGGGTGGTTGCCCTGGGGTCAATGGGGCGGCATATCTTCCAGACAGGTCGTGTCTGGGTATGATGAGCTGAGTGCCATGGTCGCGGAGGGTAGACGAAGGCAGACCACTACATCGACAACACGGCACCTGGTGACAAAGACCCGGCTGTTTTCATCCGAAGACCCACTGCAGGTGGGGGGGTCCATTCACTTCTGGGAGGGTGACGTCCCCTTCTCCCTGGAGACGTGTCAACCAGATGGCAAGATCATGCAAGATCCAAACAGAGCACCTACAAAGCTGGAGACAAATTCGGAGGCAGCTTGGCCCGATCTGTGAAGAACGTGGATGGGAATAGAATGGAATAAATGGCACCATCTCCAAATAATTGGGTGGCTTGTGCCATCTACAACCACTACCACAAAAGAAAATTGGCCAAAACGTAGCTTATATAGTGAATCTGAGTTACCATGAGGCGAACCGTGCTGATGAAAAGACCTCCTGTCAATCATGTCTTTTCAAACGGATGCCATCTCCGGCCGGATCGGCAACCAGTTCTTGTGGCCAACCACCGGAACGACACGACCGACTCCGGTGTGATCCGATTCGGTCCACTTGCACCGATGCAACGGGGGGGGGCGGCCTGCCTGAAGTCAGTCATCCGGGGGATCTATACATATATATATATATATATTATATATAGCTATATAACCTATCAGCGTGCGTATAGTATATACTCATGCTACTACTATCCACTGTACTCATACCTACCATGCATTCCTTCCTTCTCTTCATCCACCTGCGGATGAAAGAACCACACCCGAAGCGCCTGGCGGATGGCCCAAGGCGGCCTCAAAGATGATCGAAACGCTCCCAAGTTGGGTGGTGCACTTCTGGACCCTTATCTGTCTAAGACATCTTGGGGCGGGTTTGTATGTACCAGTGACATCTACTCTGAAACCACTGTATAGTTTTACATCTGGAGCTGAGGGGGGGGCTGTTCATCGACCGCCCACATTGTAGGCTTTAATGTGCTTGTGTCTTAAATGATTGGGTGAAATGATTGGAACAAATTACCGTCACAGCAACATGATGGGCGACTGAAACCAAACGTTTAGAACTTTATCTGAACCTTAGTCAGCTACTTGCTTGGAATGAGGTCAAGGTGCATATCAAAGTAACCGTTTTCATCTTAGACGCTTCCATATATGTTGGACGGCGGAGCCTCCCGACTCTTGTGATCCTGCCCCATGCACCGTTCACTTTGTATAGTACAATGGTAGTAACTGAGATCGGCATGGGAGAAAAAGAACCGACAGTGACAGGGGAGCTAAACAAGGTCTCACACGGCAAACAATCCTGCCCTTTGAGCCAACCAGTCGCTTACATGGACCACTAAATGGATGTCCAAATCAAGACAATCTTGGGGGTGGCCCCAAACTGCTTGTGACTTGAGAACGCACCAAAACATGGAGCGAGACTTGTGCGTCACCAACCAATATTAATACCAACCACATCAAAGGGCATTGAGAAAACCGGCAGGGCCGCGTTTCTACCTTGTTTCAACGCATGTTCCCAAGAGTAAATGATATACAACAACACCTAAAAGCTGTGCAGTGCATCAACGTCTACCTACGGAGTTGTTCAGGGCATGGGGTGATCATGCAAATAAACAGCGAACTCCCTGAAAGATATGCAAACATTGATTCTTGTGATATCCTGTGCTTATTATATATGCTCACAGTACGCACCAGCCAGAGTTTTTTCCACCACCTCCACCCAAGAGAAACAAGAAATAACAAAAAACATCAAGCAACATGCCCCCCAAAAAACATTTTAAAAAAAAAAAACGTCATCATAGTAAATAGCTCGTTCTGACCCACGGCCGTTCATTTGGAGATCAGTACCAACCCTCAAGTGCTGGGGTTTGGCCGCTTTCATGGCCACCCCCACAGCACCAGCTCGCAAGTGCAGCTTGAGCTGCTCACAGGGTGGGCCAGCAGAGGGATCACTCACCAGCAACCTGCCCAGCCGCCGGACCGACTCGGACCGTGTGGAGATGGAAGCCTTCCCACAAGGGGTCAACTTAGTGAAACTCTGGTTATAGTCATAGTCATTCTCCTAAGAGGGTTGACCAAATGGTTGAAGCACCAACCAACCAACCAACCGACCAACCAACCAACCAACCAAAGGAGGAGTCAAGGCATAGGTTGTTGGAGTGGATGACGGGCCCCCCAAGAGCTGGATGCATCACTGGAACCATCCTCTTCTCCGTCCACCATCCCTTTCCCTTCTGAAAAATACTAAGATACCAGGAGCATCCTGTTTGGGTCTCCAGGTAGGACAACCCACCACTACTTGGGGTTCCCCTCCTTCCCTCACCCGGTCCACCTCGCGCCGGGCACGCCTTGGCTCCTCCACCAGTCCAATGGAGATCTCCCGCTCGTCCGCCGTGCCGGACCCCGTGGCCGTAGCGGACCCCGTCTCGCTGTCCTGGACGGCGAGCGCGGCGGGCGGGGCGGGGCGAAGCAAAGCTGGGGTTGTGGTAGGGCCAAGCCCTCCAACCGAACGAAGCGATGGCCTCCAACCGAACGACCCTATAATGGCCCTGAAGGTTCGACGCCTGGATGGGTCTGGCATGGTCTACAAACGTGTTAGACCAAAGAAGATCTTCCTGTGGCATGGTCTTCTTCTCGGTACCTGAAATCGCCTCGTTCGACCCGGAGAGCCTTCGAAGTCCAACACCTGCACCTCCACAAGCAACCCAGGTTCGTTGGCGTTCCTTTTGCCGGACCCATCCGGAACATATCATGTTCCACCGTGTTCCCCCCTGGTGATGATGCCCTTTTTCAACCTTTAAAGGAGACTAAAGAGGCCTTGAATCGGCGTGGAATCTCTTGGAACACCTGATTCCAGCCAGCCCAAACACCCTGCAAAAACATTCAACAGCAAAAACCTGTGGGCCTCGCGCTACCCGCTTTCGCCGCCTCGCGCGAGCCGGGCGTGAAGGTGGAACTCCGCGTCGTGGCGTCCTCAACTGCCTCGGGTCATTGCCCCAGCGCCGGCGGGCACCGTGGGAGCTGCGGGTGTTCGGAAAGACCCTAAGGGACACGTGGCTCCTTGTTACTAGTAGCTTCTTGCTACTAGTAGCGATGGCCTCCAACCTAATAGCGATGGCCTCCAACCTAGTAGCTTCTTGTTACTATAGGGTGTCTTTTTTTCGTCGACAGCTTCAAGAATGCGAGATCGGCCGACAACGGGCGGCGAAACATCGTGGAGACCAAAGGTGTCCATGATGGATCACGATGGCGGGGGGGGCCTGGCTTCCGGCCTATCATTGTTGGGAACGTGACAATACGTGCACTGTATACCCAGACACTCCATGTATGCCATATATGCCTACATTGACCCCCCAAGCCACCCGAATGTTGGCATATATGGCATACATGGAGTGCCTGGAATATATATATATATATATATTATATTAAAGCATGCCACTTGGGGCGGGAAAGACATTGGGTCATGAATCCTTGCGTGCCGGGTGAGCTCCGGCCGTTCAGGTTTCGGATGCGAAAGCTGCTAGAGCAGCACCGCGCACGTGGTGAGCATTCAAAAGCCATCCTAAGTGAACAACCAACCCATCTCAACCATGATGCAAACAATTGAACTTCTTAATAAAGACATTTCTTAGCCATCTCGCCCAATCTACCACCTTTGATGCACCTTTCAGCCCAGATGCGCCCTCGGCATGTTTGTTCCAATCCTGTCACGGCCGCAGTCCGACCCGGCAACATCCGACCCGCCGACGTCCGACCGGTGACCAACGGGGGGGCGAGAACCATCCAAACGGCCCACGGCAACATGTGAATCCAAATGCCTGTGAGCCAGCGAAAGATCGCATCAAGCGATTCTGAACAGACCAGAACAGCCCTTGGTGGCCTCTTTGCCCAAATAAGTTGCAGTACTAAAGGCAGTTTACTAAGCTCCATGAAGCTCCATGGGAAGCTTCATGAAGCTCCCATAGCTATGGTGATTCGACTCAGGCTACTGGGCAAGGCCGGCTGTTAGTACCACACTCAGGAACACCTCGTCAGACTGATCCACCAAGTATTATACAAACGTCAGACCCTGAAAAACCACCTGATCCACGGTGTTTCGAGGTGTTTTTGCCTAGGAACTGATCAAACATACACAGAAAAATCCACGGAATGGTCTTCGATGTTTCCAGGGCAATGCTCCGCAACCTGCCTCCGCCTGGGGGATCTCCCGCAACCAGCGCTGCTTCAGCGTGGCGAAGCGGCGGAGCATCTGCAGGCGGCGCCTGTGGAGCTGTGGCCGGGGCCCGGACAGTGGACAGTTCCACTGGGCAGGTTTTTTCAGGATGGACTGGGCTGTGAAGACTTGGTTGAACCGGAGGGGAGCACTGAAGGTCAGAGAAGGGAAGTGGAATGAAGTGGACCTAGGACAGGAAGACCTATGACGATAGTATACAATGCAAATCTGCCCAACTTCGACATCTCAGGAGTCCGAGAACCAGACAGGATGTAAATCATACCATTTTCTCAAGGTGCCCCAACTGAGAGAATAGCTCTTGTACAGGAATGCCGGGTCAGCAATATGACCCAAAGCATGCAAATCAGGTCAACCACAAAGACAAAGGTGCCTAGAAGAAACTCTTTAGCTGCAACCAGCTGGGCCAACCAAGCACACCTCCGGAATGCTTGCAATAGAGGTCATTTTATGCATCAAATCAGGTCAAAACCTCCATCAACTGGGAGATTCCACCAACTGCCGCCAACCATGGATTCTTGGTCTGCTCCGGGGTGGGAATCCTTCCTTCGCCAAGCTGACTCCCAACTGCAGTAGACCCGAAAGAGCGGGCACAGCTCCCCATTTTTGAGTGGGAAATGCAATGCCCCCCTTCAGGTCTAAAACCTCATTGTACTGGAGTTGATCATACAGAAGCACTACTCAATGAAGTATGAAGTGATGTTTAAAGGACCAGGTTTCCATCGGCCTTGGGACATGTAGGATGGATGTCACCAAATGTTGCACGGCATGCCGTGTCTCTCCCTTCCTCAAACAACAGCCCGGACTTCGCCTGGCCAGGAATCCCTTGAACGCCCTCTGGATGCAAAGTGCGCTGTGGCACGCGAAGCGAAAGCCGTTGCGGCACTGGAAGCCCCGGAAGCCTCGGGAACCACCAAACAGCGGCGACACGCAACACCAGCGGTGCGTCTGTTGTTCAGCGTTGCGGTCGTTGTTCAGCGGTTTCGGTGCAGAAAAAGGCTTTGCATGTTCAATCAAATCAAATCCCCCCGTCTCCAGGTTGGTTGACATCTCCAAGGGCGCCCCTTAAAAAGGAATCGACCGTCTAACTTCTAACTCCACGGTGGGTTCTCAACATCGAGCGATCTTAGACGTGCTTGAAGCTATCATGGCTGCATTTTTCCGAGGTCAAGCTGGACGCTTCTTGATCCGGCGCACAGGCGCGTTCATGGTGACCGGTTGACGGTCATGGCAGCGAAGCTTAGCAGGATGCTCAGCTTAGCGTGATTGGATGACTCTCAGAACCCACCTGGTGTGCAATGCGCAAGGACGAGCAAGGTGCTTGATGAATCTTTGTGATTGCTGTACTCTTCTGCTCTTCTCTACTGGCTTGGAACTGACTGATCTAATAGCCTTCCCCAGCGCAATGGTTTCAGAAGCTCGCGCGCACCGAAACGATTACGCCATTAAGCTTGGGATCGCCAACAAACATTTATAAACACCTCCAGGTCCAGGTCCAGCACCATCCAAAAACTGCCCATCCCCCAACAACTCATTCATCCCAAATGCTCCGCTGCAGTGCCACGGCCGCCCGCACTCGCACCCGTCGCTTGGTCCGCAGCTGCGCCCGCCACGCGCGCTGCAGGGCGTGCAGCGCGCGTTGGCGACGCCAGGCGACACGGCGGCCGCGAGCACCGCGGTAGAGGCGTTGCAGGACCACAGCAGAGGCTTGGTAGGCCTTGGGGATGGTACAAGAGGCCATTGGAGACTGATGTGTTTTTTGGTTGTTGTTTGGGCTTATGCAGTTGCTCCTTACCAGCAGATACTTTCTACTTTAAAGGGGATTACTGAATTACTACCTCAGAAACACCACAATTTGATACAATTTGTATACCGTATGATCCGTATATCTCCGTACTTTTCTATACCACTCAAAACATGATCCTCCAATCCCTCCGACCCTAAACTCTTTGCATCTCCTGGCCCCGCCACCCACGCGTCAACCTCGCACTGCCGCCACAGCACGCGTCCACGGCTCCTCCACCGGCCAAAGGCCTCGCGCAGCGCGCGGCGCGCACGCGCCCGCGCGCGCCCGCGGCGTCCGCGCCAGCAGCGTTGGAGGGCCACGACGGCTGAAGCGCCGGAGAGGGCGGCCGCGGCCCAGCGCCAGCGCGCGCAGGAGAGGAGATAGGTGAGGCGGTGAATGGGTTGGACGAGGTGCAGGAGGAGGAAGGAATAGCGCCTGCGGCAGAGAGAAAATGATGGAAAATGTGATCTGGAGTTGGGAACCGGCCGGCGTTTGTTTTTCCACAAGGGCGCGGTGAGAAGGTCAAGAATGATTCTCTGCTTGCATGCAGTCCCGGATGATAAGGCAAGTCGTTGGAATTCTGGATGGCGACTCACCATTAACCCCTATTGACACTCCCACGTGCGACAACCTGCGGAGACCAGCCTTGTTCCCAAAAAGCCTCGCGTGGCTGCTTGGATGCTCCGTGCTGCCCGGCTCCGCCTTGCTTGCACGTGCCGCCACCAGCACAGCACCCGTCGCTTGGCCCGGAGCATGCGCAAGAGCTTCGAGCTGCGCCACCACCGCTGGAGCCGCGTTGCTGCCCGGTCCTGCCGCGCCAGGCTGGCCCGCCTGCGGCCCAGCCAACCACGCCAAAGCCGTTGGATGCCAATGGCCTCCTTCCGCCGCCGCGCCGCCCAGACCCTGCGCTGCGCCGCGAAGCGTCGCACCAGCGACACCACCAGGCGCGCCGCCGGCGGACGCTGCCGTTCTACGGCGCAGCGGCGCAGCAGCGTGGCCCAGGCGCGCGCGCGGGCGTGTTCCACGAGGTGCGCGCAGGCGCGCTGGCGCGCGGCGCGGAGGCGCCAGCGCACCCGGCAGCCGCGGAAGGTCCGCGCAAGGGCGATCTGCGCCTCGTTGCGGCGCCAGATTTGATCCAGGCGCCGGGCCGCGCGCTTGCTCAAGGCTTTCCCCACCACAGTCAGATCTTTGTGGCCCCACGTTTCGGAGAGGTCCTCCTTGTTCTCCAACCTGGGCAAACATGAGGACGCTACTAGTAACAAGGGCATTATTACTAGCAACCATCTACTCGGAACAAGGTGCATCGCTACGTTCGAATGCCTCCTGTCACTGAGCGGTCTTGGGGGAGGCAAGAACTCGCCAAGAAGCCAACAGCTCATGGGATCCTCTCCCTTCACGTTCGCAGTTTCATCACAAATGCACACCCAGTCTGGCTCCTTTCCATCTGCCAACAAATGGCCTCAGCAGAGGTACAAAGTCAAACTGTGACATGAAAGGGATGGATATCATACGTTGGGCACACCCCATTGCCAGTAACATTGGATGATCATCGCTAGTAATTAAAGGCCTTGCTCTAAAATAAGTGATGATAATGTATGATAATTGTTTACCCACTGTTACAGGTAATAGGGCACCCCCAAATCATACGCACAAAAACGAACAGACCTTGGACTCGGATTTGTTGCGGCCACGTTCACACGGTGCGCTTTCACATCCCATGTTCAGAAACCCCAGCTTGGATAGGTTTAAGGAGGGAAGGAACCGGGAACATATTCTTCAGAAGGGGAGGTCCAACCCGCAAAAAACAAATTTGGCACCCTTATATACGTGCCCCGAGCACAAACAGGCCAGGGTCAGCGCAGGTTCCGATCCTTGGGTGAAGTGCAAACATGATGGTCCTCAAAAGGTAACCCCCGACTGAATGTCCTCCGGCTTTGCTAGGCTTTGTTGACTTGGGCATTAGAATTTCATTAGAACGACCCCACAGGGTATGCCCCTTCATCCGGGGACAGGTGGCGAGGACACATCTCCACTGAAAGGTGCCAGACCTGCAGGGTAAGCCTGAAACTCCCAACCTTTGGCCAGTGTTCTTCTGTATGAGGTGTTCTTCGGGTGCCTGATGATGCTCAATTGCGGGTCAGGGAGCGTTTGGAGGTCCCCTAGGCCCTAGGGCTCGTCTGGGTGAAAGCTGGCAGGGAATATCCTCTTCACAGGGTCTTGATACCTACCCCCGCAATAATTGTCATCTGGTCTTTTTGGGTGTTCGATTCCGCCTTCTGAAGCGACAACACTTAAACCCGCCAGTTTTCAAGGAAACAACATGAAACAACCATTGATCGCATGAATTCCCGTGGAATCCAGGTGGCCTTGGAGAAGCAGTTCCACCAACCTGGACGCCATACCTGCGAAGACTACGTGTGCGCCGATCCAACGAGCGAGCGAGCCGGGGCGGTGAAGTGGACCTGAAGAAGCTCTGGGTTCATGGTGAAGAGGGAGGCTCCGGGGGGCTCGACCCATTTTCCCCGAGTGGTTCGAACCCAGACACGACCCATGGGACTGCTATCAGTTGGGGTGACTTTTGGGGGTCAAATGTAGGCATATATGGCATACATGGAGTGTCTGGGGAAATGGCTCAGGATCACGCACAACATGCAAACAAGGTCCACCAATCGCAACAGGATTGAGGATTGAGGATGCGCACCTCATCCAAAGCTTCCAACTCTGGGTGTTTCACCTGTTTGAATAGAAGGCCACTTGTCTGGCTGGCAGATGCTCACCAACAGCCACTCGATATATTGGAGACCAAGGACTCCCCTCCGTGGTGGGGCGCCGTGAAACGCGGCGATCGTGCTGCAAAAGGTCTATCATCTTTGAGCACCCATCCCATGATGACCTCCCCTTCAGGTCTTGAAACTTCCTTTTTTCATGGTGTTCAACTGACCCTTCTGGACCCTTCTTGTTTCAAACATCATGGCCAAACAAGAGGGACCCCCCTTGCTTGGGCACCCAAAACCCGCCGCTCTCCCTGCCCATCAGAAACGGAACTAGCCGAACGCGCGCGCCCGCGCGCTACCTGCACTCGACCTACTTCCCGTCGCGCTGCGCATAAGACCCATCGGGCGCTTTTTCCCTTCGAACCAAGGTGCGTTCCAACATGTCAGACATCCACTGGGTCCGAGACTCGCAGGCGGGGCTCAGGTTCACCTCCAGAAGCCTCGTCGCCGCTTCGCGATCGACGAGACGAGGAGGCGACGAGATATTCGGTGGAGGGCGGAGAGGGCTGAGGCTTCGATGGATGGATCGCATGGATCGCTTCGACTCGAACATGTGGTGAAAACGGTTTGGGACAGCGAAGCCTGGTTTGATCCAAGCTGCTTGGGTCAGAAGTACATGGAGTTATAATGGAGCTATGATTTCTGATTGGAACCTGTTTTTACAAGTTGAGTTCCTGCCAAGAGGTCCTCACCAGGACCCTCCAAAGTTTGGCTGCACTGAGACCTCAAAACGTGGTCACCAGGAAGCAGTTCTTCGCGGATTCAGGGTCCAGGTGGAGATGTCACGTATACTTGTTCTTGTCCAAGCCGACTACGGGGTGATGGAACAACTCTGCAAAAATAGGACCGTTCACGGACATCGTGGAGTCCACCAGGACCGATGGGTCTGCCGTAGTTGAGTCCCGTGGGCGCGGAACTTCTCATGAGCATTCGCGGATGACTTGTATCTTGGATGAGGTTCCATTTGCCAACATTCAGGACCCAGACCATCCATGGGACTGGATTGACTTGAAACGAGTTACCTACGTTGGAACGGTGGCTGTAGGATGCTGTAGGTCTATGCCAGGTCCCATGGTCTCTGGTCCCTCAATGCGGAGACTTCGGCTTCCAAAGCGGGGCGCCTACTGTAGGGTAGGGGTGCCCGCTGTGCTTAGGCCTTAGGCATATACCGTTCCTGCCTTAGGCATATAGCGTGGAAAGCATCGATGTCACAAGAAACCATCCCAACACCCGGTATCTGCTCTCCTGCCATCCTGTCGACCGCCCCGTCCCGGGGCCCCCCACCAGGGCTTGAGATCTTCACCGATCAAGAAGTCGAAGCCATACACCTCGAAGCTTTCGGGCCTGGGAGCCGCGTCGACTCCAAGGAGCGTTTTTGGGGGCGTATACTACCCCTATAGGCTTCCTGGCCCACCATTCATTGAATAGGCTTTACCGCTTTACCGAATCAACTAAGGATTTGACACTACAAACACCAGGTCAACCATGTTTTCAATGGTCTTGGAAGTCTAGGGCTACTACTGTCCAGTGACTTGGGCAAATGTGGTTCAAGTGACATACCCACACGGCTACCCACAGGGCGAGGTCATCTGCGCTCAGACAAGTCCTAAGTTACGCCAGTCAGTCATAGAATGTTTTAGGAAAAGCAGGACAAGTCAGGACCAACCAAGGGAGGACGGAGGGATGGAGGGACTACAAAACGTGTTGTAGATGCACTCAGCTGGGGTGGTCAGAACATACTTTTGCGTTCTCCTTCAAACGGCGACCCACTTCAAAACAACAAGACCAGCAAGACCGTGGACCACCCCAGCATCCCATACAACAAAATCGCGCTACGGTCGGTGTTTCGAATTCGACAAAGGAACCTTTGAACCATGTTGGACTGCACCGCCTGGAGCGTCTGCAAGATACAGCTCTTGAGCTGTGGAATAAGCTCCGTCTCCCAGTAGTTGCCTCGGATCGTTGTTCGCGCGCCCGGCTCAAACAGCACGGTTCTCGGCTGCTCGGGTGGGAAGAGACCCATGCGGAATCTTCGGATACAAACACATTTGATCACAACCTCTATAGCTGCCATTAACTTCCGTGTCGCTTAAACAACCTTGCCTGTTTGAAGGCTTAGCTTCCACCCCTGGGCTCCAAGTACCTTCTAAGATCTTCTAAGAAGGTGTGTGAGGTGAGTTTAAAGGGTCCATTCCTACCTTGTGAGGTACCTGGAGCCCTAGGATTTGGTGAAGAAATCCTATCTCCGGCCACAGACCTTCTTCACCCGGGCGCGGCCTTCCTGGATCGGACGGAGCAATTCATCCGTAGGATCGGTCGATGGGGAGATCTGACCGAAGACCCGGGTCTATCAGGTTTCAGTGGATGATCATGGCTATAGGATGCTACAGGTCCTATAGGTTGTATCCTAGCCATCGTGATGTTCTTAGTTGACCGAATTTTCTCGCCAGTCAGGGGATGTTCCGAAATTCTGCGTTCAAAAACTCCACCTCCGGGTGGTGAGGGAATGGCCAAGTGAGATGACTTGGAATCAGAGGTCATGATATGAAGGTCATTGAAGGTCAGGTGCTTTTGCCCGTGATCATCTCCAAAACTTCTTGAAATTCCTGGCCGGGAGTGAGGTCAATCTCGTGCAGAAAGCTGGGGAGCAGGAGACGGAACCATCGGAGCAGCACAAACCGCTTGGAGAGTCAGAGGGGCGCATCCTACATGAGTAGAAATGAATTAAAGAATTCGAAACTTCGAGAAGTTAACCCAACTTGTCCAAGACAAGCTAAATTCAGCTGTTAAGTTCGAGAAGTGAACTTAACAGAATAGTCCAAGACAGGCTGAATCGGCATAAGAACAAGTGGTGTGGCCATTGATGGTGGACGTGTCTGTGGACGTTTCTTGGGTCTTGTCAGCTCCACCGATCCCCCACCGCTCCCGCAGCTTCCGCAGCCGGGAACGGCCGGGAGCAACGTGACGCGCATCTGGTGGAACCGGGAAAAGCGGAAAACAAGTCTTCAGTGGTGTAAAGTTCAGGTTTCCCCAAAGATCTCATCAGTTCTCATCTGTTCATCAGAAAGCCAAGTGTGAAAATAATTCCACTTCGACTTCTGTCTTCGCCTTTTTGCTGTGATTCTGTGGCTTCAGGGAGTGTCTCATGGTCCAAAACCAGGTCCGGTTCCCTTCAGGATCTCCATCCTCCATCCTCTCATCCCAGAAAAGCCCCCCCCACTTGTGGCACCGTGTCACCACAGTGCACCCGTGCACCTCCCCCACGACGTCCTGTCCGCCCCACTCGCCTGAAGACTGGCGACGGCTCCGTCCGACACGTGCTTCCCGCACTTGTTCACCGACCTGGACCGTCCGTGGCGCCGTCTTCGTCTCCATCGAAACCGGTGCTCCGATGGCCCGACCACGGAGCATTTGAACCGACCGGTCGATGCCCCAAGGAGAGAGTGTTTGATTTGGGCATGTCGAACTGCTCTGTGTCCATTCCTCTCTCTCTCTCTCCCAGGAGTCTCTGACAGCTGTCATGCTGCTTCTTCAAATGGAAGCCACAGTAGAAATTCGGGCCCTCCAATGGAAAGTGTTAGGGTCCAAATGCCTGCTGTGGGGGGCTCATGCAAGGTCCAGGGATGGTCCAGAAAGCGCCATAAAACCCATGCAGCGGATGCTTTGACCGGCCGTCACGGTATCAGGGGCCTGCTCGCTACGCACACGGGCCTTTTTGGGGGGGAGGTGGGGATTTCCACCTTGGTTGACACATCAGAGCGCGCAAAGCCACCAAAGATACCAAAGTGCAAAGCCGAAGCTGCAGAACTAGGGCGTCCAAGGGTTTGTTCAGCGGCTGTTTGGTATTTCTTGAAACACCAGGAATCCAACCGCTTGCCCTGCTGATCGGTCTTTCGCTCGGTCCCCCAGGTCCCTTTGATGCACCGGAGGTGGACCCACCGAGATCCACCTCCGGAAAACCGGGCCATGGCCCGCCCCAAAACCACCGACGAGCCAGGCCCCACTTGGACCGAAAAGGGGCCAGTTGGAGATATGCCGCTGGCGGTTCGCCAAGTCCCCGAGGTCGTAGGGCTCGTTGCAGAGGCGCAAGTAACAGGAGGAGAACATGTGGACCTGTCGAAGGACCGAACTCAGGTACGGACGAGGTACGTACGGTCACCCGGCCCGGGCGAGCGGTGTGGGAAAATGGAGGTGGTTGATGGGTGTTTCAGGCGCTGAGGTGCTGAGCTGGCATGGGCCCCGCAGGTTCCCCCCAAGCTGGGCCTCCAACGCGACCGGTGAAGCACGTGGGGCATCCAGGATGATCCAGGATCCTGGCCTAAAATTCACACCTGGAGTTCCTGAACGTGGATTCTTGGGCGCCTTGGAGTCCGAAAAATTCAGTGGATGTTCTGGGCACCCCTGGTGCAATCTGCTGGGTTTCTGTAGTTCCAGGAAAGGTTCCTCATTGGTGCCACTGCTTTGATTGAGCATGTGTCTTTTTCGTGATGCTCCAAAAACAGGATCACTCAATATCACTCAAGTTCTCGCTGCTGGTTCCCAGGCATGCTTGCATATACTCTCGACACTAACAACCTTTTCGGGACCTAGAAAGCACAAAAGCAGCCCTCCTTACAACCCCTCTCTAGCCCGAGAGGAACCCGAATAAAGATGGCCTGCCCACTGCCCACGATAGTCAAATTCTACCGAACGGCACGGAGTGGGCTTCTGATGTTCGCGCGGAGTGGTGCATCTTTGGGGACGCAGGCAAAGGCCGTACAAAGAGTACCACTTAGGAGTGTTGACAAAGTGACACTGAGCAAAAAACATCACGAAAACCGCAGTACAGACCTGCCAGTGGTGTCAACTCTATGGGAGGCTTTTTTGGGGTGCCTCGTGTCGCAAATTCTGGGGGTGAGTGATTCGGTGATGCCTTCAGCCTGTCTGGCGGTGCAGTTGCGGATGGCTTCAACCCGGCTCTAGGCCAAAACCCGTTCATGTTTTTAATCTGCTTGGTCCCCCATCTTTGCGTCGGCCCTACAAAGAATTGGCCAACTCCAACGAGTTGTCCAGTCACACCACGAAGGTCACAAGAAGAATCCCATCATGAATCAAAGACACATATACCCCTCAGTGAGTTAGTTCGTTCCCTCCGCATTCTACAGGCAAAGCAGCATGAAAAGAACAACACTTTCTTGCTAGCTACCTACTACAGGTGCACACCCTTCCTCACCTGGACCTCTCCTCTCTTCACAGCGCATCTTCAGCACCCCACCGTGCACCGCGTCAACCGCACCGCCCGGGCGGTACGTCAACCGCCGCCAGGCTCGGCCCGAGCCTTGAGGGGCTGGAAGGAGCGCACCAAAACCTCGGTGCCGTAGGGGTAGGACGAAGGAGGGAGGACGAACGCGGACGAACACGGGACGGGATGGTCGTCCGATTTGGGGCAAGAGTCATTAAACGGCAATGGCAATGGTCATTGATACGCCACAATTACACCACCATACCTGGACCCTGTAAGGGGTGTCCAATGGAAGCATACATGATGTTTCTGATTGTTTCTGTGTTCTCTTCTTTTCTTATGTGGGCACCGTCTCTTTTGCTTGTCTCAGCGACGCTATCTCTTGCTCAGAACCGGTGTCACCGTGGTCACCGGGCGCCGTCCCGGCGCTGTCGTCCGCGGCGACGGACGCTGCAAAAAGACTCCGAAGGATCCCGGAAATGCCTTGAAAATGCCTTGAAATGGCCGCGTGAATGACCTCTGCTGAACTGCATCGAAACTGATCATCCAGCTATCCCAGATCTCTGAAAGGCCAGGTTGCCCATTGTCGCAAATCGAACTTGCGGCCACTGAAGAGCAACAAGGGTCGCTCGATGTACCTGAGGGAGGTGAGGACCTTCATGAAAGCAGCGGGCCGGATGCCCCGGTGGGGCAAGAGTTATCTGGTCAAAGAGGATCTCATAAAAGGAAGCCTTCCCAACATCGTAGGAATCTTGTTGCATCTGCCTAGTAGTATGGCCAGGAGCCCCTAGTAGCGTCCTTGCTCCTAGTAGCGATGCCAGGAGCCCCTAGTAGCGTCCTTGTTACTAGTAGCAACGTGCACCCTGCTCCCATCGACGTCAAGCTGCTTCTGCACAATCCGATTGGCAGCGGTCTTGCAGTGATGTAGGACCTCTGGTAGCGAATCCATGCCTTAACCACGAGCTGCGGCGCAGCCACGGTGAAGCAGCACAGGTGCAGCTGGGGGTTCGCTTGGAAGTGGCTTCTGCCCCTTTTTCGTGTGACCGCGTGACCACCTGTTCAGAGTCCGAATGCATTTGGCGGTCTCTGCTTCCAAGCTTCAGCCACAGATTCGGATGACCCTCCCTAGTTTCCCCCCCCTTCTTTTCAAAGGATTCCGGACCCAAAAAACACCTTTTCTGACCACTCAACCCACATGAGTCCCACCGTGCCTTCCACCGCGTTCGCTCGCCACCCGCGCTGCCCAACGGCCAACTGCCCGAGCTGCAAATCACCCCTTTGCCCTTCGAACAGCTCCCCGGCTTGGCCACCTGCGGCCCCGAAGACGTGGGGTTCGCTTACCCCGGTCGCCGTGGCCAAAGGTGGCCCTGTCTTGGGAATGCCCTCAAGCTGGATCTGTCATTCAGTGTCCAAGTTAGTAAAGTTTATGACCTATGACCTATGTACATTGATACTCCAGATTCCAGATCTGATGTCGTTATCCTTACTCATGTTTATAAAATATGTCTTGGAATTTGCATTTTGCAAGAGAAAAGGATCTACATTTTATCAGCCAACAATCACGGGGATATTTTGGACGGGTGTGCAGCATATCAAGTACCAGGACTCCCTGTTTGAGGTGTCTATTGATAGCCACTTAGAAGTTGTATAATGTTATATAAGCTATAAGGGGCGTCGATGAACCACCCGACCGTGAGTCCTGGTACGGGTGCATAGTCTTTTTCATAGGGGTATCATTGTGAGCGTTTCTTTGATGGGTACCCCAAATCACCTCTACGGGGCTATCAATAGACACTCCTTAGGGTGTCCTGGTATAGTAATGTTTTTACCAACTAGTACTGGTAATGGGACACACTAAACAACAACTTCCGCTGAGCTCCTTCTGAGCTCGCTTTCCTGACTAGTACTGGTAATGGGACACACCCTATGAGGATCTAGTTACTTAGTTGAATGAGGGGTGGTTTGCATAATTTCTTCCAAGAGCTCGGAACGGCTTGGCCGGCAACCTGTTCGCCCTCATTTCAGGCGATTCAAATCAATCCTCCCCCCGGACATAGATGGTAAAACCTCCTCACATGTGGGGGGGGGCTGGTCATATCAAGAGGTCGGACTTTTCGCTCCAGGCTCCACCGTCCAACGGCCCAGCATCCACCCTCCGGCGGCGGTTTCAACCGAGGCGCCCAAACATTCATGGGTCCCTGTGCGCTGAATTGAGGCCATCGCGCCTGCAGGGCGAGGCGAAGTCCACCCAACCGCCACCCTCGACCGCCACCTTGACCACCTTGACCCTTGGACACAGACACGTCCGGGGAAAATTCCATTTCGGTACACATACATGGCGCCTCAGAGGTGCTTCGGGGAGTCCATGAACCACCCCGACCATAACCTGCTTGATGCGAACGATGAAACTGCTATGTTTTGGGGCATCATGCCCATCGTGGGACCAAGTGGGCAAGGTAAGGTACCAGGATATTCTCTCGGTACATATAAGACTCCGCGGAGTTTCCAGAAGTTTAGGTTCTAAAGCGCCATTGCGTTCTGTACGGTACAGCATCATCACATCTTCTAAATGGCTACTCAAGGGCGGCGATGACTTATTCAACATACTTGAACATCCTGGAGTAGGAAAAAATCGAATGCGCGAGCAAATATATACCACAGTGGCAAAGCAATGGCTTGTGGAGTGGCAACGGCTCCACGTTCGCAATATGCAAACGTCACCAGGCAGGTATCGAGGTGTGTTCCCACGGTGTATTCTGGAGCACGTACATGTTCAATACCAGGACCCTCCAACAGGTCACCACCTGCGACCTTTTAAGTCTACAAAATCCTCCATTTCGGAGACCTGTACAGTCGGGTGCTGATACTTTCTGTCTACATGTGGATCCCTTCAACGCTTTGATGAGACCGTAAGTCTCGCGCCACTTGCGCCTCCAATTGCTCCAGTGCCACTTGCGCCTGCTGTCGCAAGTGCTCCGGCGCCTCCCCCCCAGTAGTGATCTCGGAACCTCAGTCAGCGAGCGACCGGACCCAGCGCATGATCCGTTTAAAGGGGGGCCGGAGAGGTGGAGGAGCAGGCTTTCGCAGTTGATATCCTCTGGTCTCTTCATGGTATCTGTGTGTTTCTGTACCAGGACCCTCCTGTCGGGGTGCCCTGTCTGGAAGCCATCCTAGGTAGTGTGGGGTAGTCCAGCCAGGACACCCCTTGGAGGGTCTAGGTATGTTTGTTATCACTTCTGTCGCCACTCTCAACAGACCCAGTCTCCCACATGACCGGGGCATCCTTCGCACCGTAAGCGGAACGGAGATCGAATTGGACCGCACCGGACGCCAGACAAATCCGTTGCACCGTGCTGATTGATGGCGATGCGCGAAAGTCAAAGAAGTGAAAGAAACCGCGACTAATGGGACAGGTCATATTTACCGATCAGGTGGGGTGGTCTGAGGGGTCGGGGCGGCATAGAAGGGACGTCCCATGGAGCGTCTGGGAATAAGATACAATGATATACAACGATACAAGATACATGTGTTCCAAGAACGCCTTTCATGTTCCACCCCACCTGCTGGACATGACCACCACTCCACCCCTACTCATACTCAACCAAGGCCTCCAAATCGCCCCGCTAGTCCGGGCACTCGGTAGGGTCCCCTCTGCACTCTGCCGGGACCTGACCCTACAACAGGATGTTGATGTTCTTTACCGTGGAAATGCCAAGAAAACAACTCCTCACTCACAGGCAAGCCTCCATAAGCCTGAGTCCTGAGTCGATCTGAACACTGACCCATATCTCCCGATCGCTCCTCCAAGCAACTCCGGCCACTTCTGGTGGTTCTCCACGCGGACGCCTTCCCGGCCGGTGCCGGGCTGCCACGCGCCTGAGGCGGAGTAGCCACCTTGGCGCTCCCACCGTCGAGCCGAGGCTCCGGTGCTCGGGAAGATCGGAGGTTGCGAGGGTCACGAGACACGGAGGTCGCGAAGATCGGAATGGCTTGGAGCTGCCAATACCCAGGCACTCCATGGGACTGCCATATAATATGCCAATCAGTTGGGGCGGTTTGGGGGCATATATGGCATACATGGAGTGTCTGGGATATGTGCCAATCAGGTTCGTTCAACGTGCTTGATGGCCACAAGGTGCTTGTTCGATTGCCAGGTTCCACAACGGTGGCTGAGTCACTCCGGTTCAGGTTCTTCAGGTTCCGCCCCCCGTGCGGCTCACCCCACACCAGTTTACACCACTGTTACACTCAAAAAACAAAAATAGATCAGGCCAAACCCGAGTGAGAAAGTGCAAAACTCTTCCAAACCATGTCTTTTCTTGCTTCTTTTGTGAGGAACAGATTTGCTTCATTAGACCCAGCCCTGCCAAGCCCCCCGTCCCCGTTGTTGCTGAAAAAAACCAACCGCTCCTCCCCTCCCAGCCCAGCCCTGCTCCCTCGCCTCCCAGCGCCTCCCAGCCGAGGTGCGCAGCACCCGCTTGCGCTCCGCCTCGGCGTCGTCGCCACAGAGCTGGGCATCGGAGAGCTCGGAGTACAAGACCAAGGCATCCCACTCCTCAGGCGGCGACGGGCAGAGTCGTCGGCGGCCGAGGAGTCGCGGTCGCGTTCCAGGTGTTGGTGGAACGAAGAACAACAAGGGCGACAGCCACCGGCAAAGAGACAGCACAAGTTAGCAGCAGCCCAATTTCAATCGATCTACGGAAATCCACATGTTGTCACATGCTTACTACAATGGCTCTACATGGCTCTCCCACCTATAGGCCATGTGTTTGTGGATATCGACCTTCACAAGTCGCCATACCATAAAACCAAGACACCTCGCTGTAGAGCTTTCGGCGCTCCGAACCACGACCTTCCTCCTGGAACTGGGAGGGCGGGCACAAAAAGATGCCATGCATAAGCAGGCACATTCCCAAAAACAACAACATGGTCCAATGCACTGCCCAACATGGTCCAATGCACTGCCGCGGCGTCCCTGTACTCCCTACATGTGACTATAAGAAACACGCCAAGCATCACCACGGTTCGGCATCCACGCGAGCGAGTTTTTGACATACCGCAACCTCCTCCTCCCCCTGTGCACACCACAAGCGCCACAAGTCCCGACCCAACACCGACGTCCGAAGGGGCCAAAGCCGAGACCCTCTCCCGGAGCCAAGACGGTCGGGGAGGCGCCTCCAGAAAGCTTCCATCCAGATCCTCGAGCCAATGCACCAAGGCCTTGACGGCGATCCTGGGGCGGCCACCAACGGCGCGGGCGCTATGGCTGCTTGGAAGGGGGGGTACAAGTAGCAGTATTTACACAGCATTTCCAGTGGTAAGTGGGTGTTTTACATTTAGTAAGTGGGTGTCCAAATTGGAGGCTCTCAACCCACCTCAATGGGTTCCACGAGCGGCTCTTTTTCTCCGCACTCACGGACAATGTCTAGAGTCTAATTTCTAATTTCTGGTCACATCGACCTGGCATTGGACAGTGACTGGCACAGTTGGCACTGCATTTCATGTTCAAGTAAAGCAAGTGGAACAGCCAGGAAGGACAAACTCTTTTCCCCCAAGCGCCTATGTGTGCAAAACACATCAGGCTTTCCAGAGCATAGATCGGGCCGTGTTAGATCCCGAAGACTACTTCAAATCTGGAAGCGTATAGTTCAACGCCACAGCCACTCCTGCCTCCCTCAAAGCACACAAACGCATCTTGCGCTCTTTAAGTCCCGCTTCACGCCACTCCTCAGGATTCTTGCTGCCATGATACTTTGCCTTCTTCCACCCGCAAGAATAGGCCTCATCAAGTTACGGTGCATCAGGTGTAGATCAATGAGAAGAAACCAAGGTCCAAACACTATGAAGCGCGTGCTTCAAATGTTGCTCAGTCCATCGATCATCATCCTGTAAACAAATGTCAGTTCTCTCTTAATTCATCTTTCATTCAATCAACTCTAAAACAAATTTATCAGAAGTCCTTAGATGACTTCTTTGTCCCCTTTGCTGTCTTATCCTTCTGCACTGCCTTTCCTGTTTCTTCCTTCTTCTTTTTCTCATTGTTTTTTCCAGCGTTTCTTCCGTCAGGCTTCTGTTCATTCTTCCTGCATCGCGTTTTGGATGCTGGTTTGGCTTTTGCTTCTGGGGCATCACTGTGATTGGGAGCACTGGCGTCACTGTGATTCACAGCATCACCCCCAGCCACAGCCACACCGGCGTCAGTGTGATTGACAGCATCACCCCCAGCCACAGCCACACCAGCGTCACTGTGATTCACAGCATCACCCCCAGCCACGACCGCATCATCAAAGGCCTGCACATCAAGCAGCTGCTTTGGGCCCATGTCAAAAAGTGCTATTCTGTGCTTTCCATACTACACGCACCAACCATTCCATGCTATCAATTGCACAAATCACAACGTTTCAATTCTTCAAGGCCAACCTCATTCAAATTGCGGAGTGGTGTTGGAATCACCTGATGCATATGATCGATCAATCAGTCAAAAGGAAACATGTGCGTGCTAGCCAGCTATTGCATGACTGTATGACTGCGTACCTCCAAGGAACGCATCTTTGGATCATCAGAAGGCAAGTAGGGATCAGCGGACACCTCAAGAATGCAGGAGGTCTCAACTCTTAGCAACCAACAATCTTCCAATTCACAATGATTTGAATGGGCGACAGTGACTAGCAGGGCCTCATGATCAGGACGCAATTCAATGAAGTCCTGAATCAATGGAAGAGGAAAGAACACATGAAGGACGATGACGGATTCAAAAACATTTGCTGCTCCTTGGCCGGAACACCAGGAAGAACAAGGGTTTCTGCATCTGACAATGCAGGATCACCACCTTTTGGCAAGAATACGCTTTGTAAAAGTGTTGAAATCCAGGCAAGCAAACAACATAGCGAATTTGGCTTACTGACTTTGTCACACTTGCCCAGCCTCCTCCGTGAGCAGCTGAAGAGGCATTCAAACCTGCTGCTTCACCCTCCTGTGGGGTGTGCTCAGCAACCGAAGTGTCCTGATAGGTACGCCAAACTTCATCATGCCACTCAGTCCAGGAGAGAGGACCTGATTCTGGTCCAGGCACACCTGAATCTTCAATCTGGTCGAACATCATTGCATTCAACCTCTGTAGCTTCGGGCTTGGGCAGGTTTCCACTTCAGGGGCTGCCGGCTGGACTTTTCGCTTTTTCACCTGGTCCTGCACCCAACAAACAATATGATATAATTTGTTCCATGCACCGACCACTGGAGGGACACTTATAAGGACACTGCCACAGCCCAAAAAGCGAAAAAAAAAAGAAAACCTGCCTTCAACGTAGCAAGAATGTCATCTTCTTTGGGCTCACCCTGCTCATCCTGCAGAACTGTCAAAAGGCCAACGCTGAATATGAGACTGAGAATGCCAACGCTGAATGTTCAACGTGTATTTGTTGACAGATTGAATTACTTCTCGCACGCCTTATCATCCTTCTTGGTGGGCTTGCGGCCAGGCTTCTTGTGAGATTTCGCTGGCTCTTTGCCTGACCCGGGAGATTGCACAACATGCCTTTACAGGGTTGGGGCCTGGCCTTTCGGCTTACGTGGTTGCCCGCGCACTGCCGGACGCTTCTTCGGCTTCACATCACCTGAACCTTCACCTGGTTCTCCCTCATTGTCAGAGTCATCATCATTTCGCCGTCCAAGGTTTGTGTTTGGTTCATCACCACCGTCACCATCCTCATCCTCATCCTCATCATCATCAGGTTTTCCTTTTTTCTTGTTTGTTTTTGCTTTTGCTGCAAGCTTGCGAGGTTGCTTTGGTTTTTCTGTTCCTGGTTTTCCTGTCTTGGGTTGTGGACCTGTTCCATCCTGGTTGGGCGGTGTATCTTCGGACGAAGAGGCTGAAGCATTGAATCGAGGAGGCAATCCTGCCCCAAATGAAGTGCAACGAAGATGTCCAGCGGTAGGGTGAAAAAGAACCAAGTACAAGTGCAAATTGCAAATTGCTGCAGCAAGAACTTGAACTCAAAACTTTTTGCAGCAAAAAAAGGGTCGGCCTGAACTCGAAGCCGGAGATGGTGCTTTCACCTTTGGGGTTGGAGTGAGCTGAACCCTGGCTTTCGGTGTAGCTGTAGGTCCCCCCTGTGTGGCTGAACTTGCGTGGCCACTCATTGAACCCATAAGGTTTGCCAAATTGAAGGCCTTGGATCCAACATCGTTTGATTGCCGTGGCTCAATCTGTGCAGACTCTAATGTAGATTCAGATTCGCAGATTGATATTTAGATCCAATAGAGTCACTGGGCTTCCAGCTGGCGTCACATGATGGGCAGCTTGGCAAGTGTCAACCATTTCACAGTCCGACTCAGACATGCCCCCACTTGTCCGAACCAGACTTCTGACTACAGGGCCTACTTGTCACCACTTTCCCTCGAAGCCACATTGCATACATACAAAATCGCAGAACAGTGTCTAGTTTCTAGAAGCCACACAAAGAAACATGCCACCACCTGAAAATCGATTTCATTCACCATTTGTGCATGTGCGGCATGCGGTGCCGTCTCTTGCACTGTGCCATGGTCAGTCTTCCTGACAAGGCTCTCCGAGGGCTCGGTTGAAGGCCGTATGCTCTGAATGATGGAAACACAAAGACCCACAAAACCATTGAGTTGCAGTGTTGTAAATTGGCTCCTATAAAACGCTATAAAGAAACACATTGGACATCTAAAGTAAAATCAACGTTAGATCTTCAGAGTCTGAACTTCGGAGCACACCCCTCCCAACCCAGCCAGTGCCACCTCAAAGGCGTCCTACATTCCATCCTAGTTTGGCGGATCTCATAAGCATTTTGCAACACCAATGGATTGGGGATCAGGTTTGAGAAGTGTGGGTGGGGTTCTTAGGCGATGTCAAAATCCCCAAATCTTGCTCCGCATGTCCCGCTTACATGAGCTTCACCACTTGGGAAGCTTCCAAATCAAGCTGTCCACTTAGCACGCACACAGGCCGCTGTGGCTTCAATGATGTCTTCCCGCCAGATGTCTCCAGCCTGGCTGGTGTCTGGTGCCCAGCAGGCTTGATGAGCAGGAGTTTTAAGTCACACAACTGAATTTTTAGGACCACGCCTCGCCCTGAAACCAATCTTCAAGGCATCGGAGCTCACAAGTTTCTTCAAATCAAATTTGGAGCCGAATGTGGTAGCCGACGATGCCTAGTCGAATCCATGGCAATACTAAACAGTTTGTTGAGTTGTTTGGCCAACATGGACCAGCCTTGAGAAACAAGTAGGATGCAGTAGACTATTTGTTTCCACTGCCTTCTTGGCAGGATCTTTAGGCTTCTGATTCTTGTCCTTCTCCTTTTCTTTGGTCTTACGCGGTTTCTTTTTTGGTGGCTCTTCTGGATCTGGATCCTTCTTGTTGTCACAAACAAAGCACAATGCTTTCTCTTGGCGGATGGTATCCTCAGTCAAATTGACCTCATGATGAAAGATCCCCACACGAACCTGCCCAGGATACAGCAAGTGTGGTAGCTGGGATGCGTTTGTTCATTGCTTTGCCATGCACATTATATATAAAGCAAGTGCCTCCCCCGCATCCTCAAGAAGGGTCAAGAGTTCCCGTAGGCGCACGGCCTTGTCCAAACAAGAGAGGGTTTGTAGATGGGTGAAGATTCCCTTCTTCTCCAATATGATTGGAGTGTCAAAGGTAAAACAACAAGAAATCCATTTCCCATCACTCTCCATGCACTCCACTGCGTCGGCGCCATCGTACCATGTTCCAGAGCCGAACGAACACAGTTCACGGTGATGCAACAGGGTGCACTGTTCTTCAGACATTGCAAAGATCTGTTCACCAGTCTGGTCGACCACCAAAGACACTTGTGAGTTTAGGGCCAGTGAAGACCTTAGAATGAGCATGAATGAGACCCTGGCCCCCATATCATTGTATAAATTGGATTCACAAGTCACTAACAAACTACCACATGTTTTCCTGGCTGAGGTTGAGACGCGTTTGGAAGAGCAGACATCTTGGCCGAAGTCAGGGGCTCGTCCACTGAAAGAACAGGAGTCTTTTCAATCTCAGCCTTTTTCTGGGGGGTCACAGCAGTCTCCTTCAAACGAAGTCCATCAGTGTTGTAGGTCTTGTTGTGTTGCTCAATGACCGCTGCAAACTCGTCCAAGTCACCAAACTGTTCAAAAAAGATCTCTTTCACAACTAGTGACCCTCCTGGCTGCTGGGCGGTGACCTTGAAGGTGCTTGAGTCAG